GGCAATTTTAGTTTTAAGCTTTGGAGCTATAGTACAAGTTTATTTATCCTATTATTTCAAATAAATCTTCTTTAGAAATATATGGTGCGTGTGTGCGTACGAGCCTAGAATCCGAGAACCTTAATGGTGCCGATATTGTTTAAAGTGAATGAAGTTTTTAATTATATGACATTAAAAATAGAAAGATTATTAGTGAATAAAAGCAGATTAATTTTTTCTAATCTCATGATACAAGCGACTTAGTAATTAAAATAAATATATATATTAGTTGAAAATGAATGCGTATTAATAAGATAATCAAAGAAGATAAATAAGGTAGGTAATACTTTTATTTTTCGTCAATTACTGCTTTTTTTCTCATAATATTATTACATCTGGAATCTGGAAAATTGCATGTCATAAAATAAAAGGAAAAAACAAGCGATATTGTTAATTCTTTTTTACTTAACGATTTGTATTTAACGTCAGTGTCATGCTTTCTAACTTCTTCTGTTCGACAAAAATAACTCGATCTGTTTTTCTTTGTTCGTAGTTCTGTCATCTATCTCATTATGTATGACGACAACTTGACTCGAACTCGTAGACATAGTCGTCATTTCCATTAATGAATACAATAAAAGAAAACCTTTAACATTATTATTTGCTGCACGAAACAATTGTTATAAATCTGGTACTGTATTAAACTCTAATAACAAATATCGAGAAAAATTTTCTTTCTATTCGTCCTACATAGTGATGTTCGTCATCGAATGACTCTCTTATGTTAATCTATAGAAGACTTCTTACAAAAAAAAAAAAAATAGTTTTTTTTTTAAGTATCGGACTTTTAAAGAACTTTAAGTTTTTTATGTATGTATTGATGGTTTTCTAGAGATAAGTAATAGAAAATTATATAGATTAGAATCATCATATTATTTGAACATCTATCTTCTTATATTATATAAAAATATTTTTTATTCATAATTTTACAAAAATAATAGAAGTTGACTTCTATATTAGTCGTTTCTCTGGCTAAATTCTTTTATGTAATGAATTCTACAATGAAAAATGATAGATATGCCAGTATTTTGTTTCTGATCGTATGTAAATGTTTGTTTAAACTCATGTTGAGTTGCAGAACATTTCATTTAGCATTTGAATTTTTCATGAATGTCTTAATCTAATCCTTCGATCGTCAAATAAGAAAATTTGATCGTTTATCTTGACATCATCGATCAAATATTCTCTATCTAAGATAGATTTTAAGACAAAAAAAAGAAATATAAGCATTCTATTCAGTGCGAATTCACTTATTAACATAAATATATATATATATATATACATGACATAATTCTGTCATTCTTTCAGCACATGACTAAGATAAAAAGAACATCGTCTTCAAGCTTGATGATATCTCGATTGTACGTGGGCTTGCTGAAAAAATAATGAAAGCATGATGATAAAGGTATATGTAGCTGTTGATGTCTAACTAAGACAAGTAGGTCATGTCGTTAACTATAAACTCATTAAGATAAATAATTATGAAAATATAGATAATATACGTATTTTCTTCTGGGTAGCAAATATGCTTGATAAATTATACAATGAAAATACAAATAAAGAAGTAGTTTAGTTAATCTTGTTTTGTTTTTATTAAATAGAATTTTTTTCATTTTTTTGTATTTTTAATTTTAAGTTCTACGGTAGCAAATATTAAAAACAAATTTACAAAATTCTCTACCAGAAGAGAAAATAGCACTTTCTATATATCACATTTAGTTGAAAATTTTGCTTCTTTTCTCTATTTTCTATGTCGTTTTGTGAAACATGAACTATGAAGAATGTTAAAAGTACAAGACATGATTATGGAACGTTTCGCCCATCCCACGATTTGGCATATATACACAACAAGGATAGATTCTAAGCTGAAAAAGATATAATCTAGAAAATAAAATTTTATTGTATATTTTTCAGATACTAATAAAAGAAGAAATGAATAAATTTATAGACAAACAAAAAAATTTCAGGACAGTATTTGTTTAATTCTACTCAATGAGTCGAACAAAGTATTGATGATACACAGTGCTGCAGTAAGCCGATTTATTAAAAGTGTCATTCTATTAATAACAGTGGTTATATCATGTTTCACATTTGACTCGAAAAGAAAAAGTATTAACGATCTTTTTTTGGCAGAACTATCCTTTGGTTGTACTATTTAACTTTTTCTTTTTTGAAGTTCTTCAATTATAATTGAATAAGAAACTGAATATTTTAATTGAGAAATAATATTTTTAATAGACGCTCAAATTAAAAAAGTTCTCTACACTAATGTTATAATAATTATAATTATCATTTCATGCGAAATAGAAGAACACATTGTCGAATTCCAGCATATAATGAGAACATTTTCTTTTCCTTTCTACTACATCTCAAGATACATCTATGATAAAATATTCTTTTGAAAAGATCATGTTTTTCTTTTCTTTCTAATAATGTCATTAGTTGTGATACTATCTAATTGATCAAGTTTGCTTAATCATCATTTAAAAAAAGATTCGGCAGTCATATGCTAGCAATTATGTGCTATTCTTTTATATTTTTAGTATTCCATAATGACGAAGAACCTATGGATGCGTGTGTAATTCTCCTATTTCAAAATAAAAATGATTGAAATAGAGTCGATTTCTTCTCATATAGATTGAATATCTATGCGTAGTACATATCTATTAGTTCTTTTCACTGATACATGTTGCTCAAAATGAAAAAAGAAAAACTAGAAAGGAGAGAAAAAGAATTTTTTTGTTATATATTGATAGAAGGCAACATTTCTTTATCATATTCATCGAACTAAAATTCAGGCAATATTTCTTGCACATCGAAAGCTTGAGTAAGTATTTTGTTTTAATGTGAATTAGATGTTTTTTATGATATATTGTTCTATTTTTTTGTTTTAATCAAAAGGTACAAAAGAAAAATTATCTCTTTCAAGTATCTAAAAATATATTGAATTATATCAAGTTCTATTTCATATTATTCGATTATAAGAAAGATAACTCTATCTGATTATATTACAGTAAAAAATAGACAAGAGAGAACCTTCTCAGAGTACGTTTTTCAATTATATTGATATATAAATACACACATACAGAACATTAAGCTCGAATTATTTCTTATTTTTTGTTGTTACATGCAATTCGCAGTGGTTATGCAGAGTACACGAAGTGAGCTTTTTTTAATTACTGAGATATAATTTAATCTATTCAGTATGAGAAAAAAAATCGAGATATCTCTCTCTCCTCATTATAGAATCATGACACAGTATGTAATCTTTTTAACTAATAAATTCACGTAAAGTCTTGCCGAGATTTAATAGTATCTATCTTCTTAACCCTATACCGAAATCAGACTATTGTCGTAGAGATTATGAGTTGTATTTTCTAATCATGTATTCCTATTGCCATGCGAGAATAATTAGTAATAAAAAAAAAATATTATTTTTTTGTCGTTTTTTTTTTTATTATATACTCTTTATTGTTTCTTTCCACATCTGTTTAGAGAGATTGATTAATTGAAAATAAGAAGATTCGATAAGTATGAAAAATTGATATAAATAAAAAAAAAAGATGTAATTAAAACTTTTGAACACGGATGATCTTCAATCTTAGAAAATTTTCGTTTCTTCCCCAGTGAAACTGAACGATTTTTCTTGTTGGTTTTTGCTCACCAATACTCACAACAAGGATCGACCCTCCCTATGACAGTATGACATACTGTCACCTATATTGTCATCTTCTTATTTCTTCTAATTTTTGTATATTTTCCCGCTGTGTTCTCTCTCTCTCTATCTTGTTTTACTTTTTTTTTTTTGCGCTCATTATTCTAATATACTTGTTTTTATTTTATGGACGCTAGAGAGAAAATATATATGATGACTTGCAGTTGTATGCTTGTAAGTAGTGAAGCCGTATTTTCGTGTGAGTATTATAGTTCTACAGCATACATCTTTATATAATATTAATTTTGATTCTTTCTATAATATAAATTATGCAGAGAATATTTATTAATTTGGTTGAGTATCTAGGCATCTAACCCTCTTCTAATGTTGTGCATCCTACCTTCTCAATAGTTGCCCTCTACCTCCAGTTCTAGCGACCTCGGGACACTCGTGATGGTATGTAACATCCGATTATCATAAAAGCATATAACAAATAAACTATTACTTTTACTTCGTTGGTTTATGTTAAAAAAAGACAAGTTTTGTGTTTATTCATCTATGTTTTTTCTTATATCGAAACATAATTAAGTTATAGATTTGATTATCATTATTGTGAGGAAACACAAAACATACTTTTAGCTTCCACGTGTTAATCAGCTGATGGATGATAATAAAAATATTCTTAAGTTCTTTGGTGAAACAAAAAATGATTCATTATAGTATTTTTTTTTCTTTCAAGAGAAGTGTTTGATTGTCTATTTCATAGTTTATTAAAATATAGAATTGAGAAAACTCCAACTAAGTTTAAGGAATATGTTTTGTTTTCGTTTTCAAATAGTTTTTCCAATTGTCGATTGTAAGCTTTATGATAACAAATGAATAGTTTTTTCAATTTATTTTTTCCCAGGTAAAGTTTTGCTTTCTTCTCTTTTTTTTTTTGTCTTTCTATATCAATTAGTATTTGTATTGTCAGAAAGAAGAAAACAGAAATTTAATATACATATATATATATATCAGATAACACATGACAAAATAACATTTTCATTGATGAGGAATTTTATTTAAAAAAAAAACAATCTATTGTCACTTGTTAATATTGAATATCAAGATGAAGAAAAGATTATTTTTTTCCTATAGAAAAAATTACAGTAATGTCAAGCGGACAAAAAAAAAACATCTGTATGTTATTTTGAGGAATTTTTGTTTATAAATATTGTACATATGTATATCTATACATTTTAGATCTATTTTTTCTGAAAAAGAAGACAGGAAATGAACAAATATGTTGTCCAATTTCGAATGGAATATGAATAAAACTGACCCAGATTCGTTCGGATCATTATATGATGCGTTAGTATATGTTGGTGTAACATCTGGTTTGTATATCAATGAAACATTAGCATTACCACGATTGAAATCAAAATGGTCATCGTTCATAAGTATTCTTCCACTTATATTAGGTTTGATTGGTTTAATATTTAATATTCTTGCCTTATTAATATTTAAAACATCTAAGACATTTCAAAAAAATTCATTTCGTTATTATATTTATGCCTTTGCAATTATTAATTGTGCAAGTGTTTTAACGTAAGAAATTCTTGATTTTTTTTTCTTTCTACTAAAAACAAAAAGCTAAATTTTGTTACTGTGTTTCTTTTTTAGTCATTCATGGCTTTATCTCATATTTTATTTAGTTGATCCTATACATTTCTGTAAATATCTACAATATTTACAACAATCAACAGCAACAACATCACTTTGGATTATGGTTTTATTATCATTAGAACGTTCATTAACATTTTCATTACCATTTGCAATTAAAAAACTCTTACAATCTCATACAATATGTTTCATACTTGTATTTGTTACATGTTTATGTTTTGCATTACATATTGATGAATTAATTTCTGTAGATGTCAAAGCATTTCGTTGGGTAAATTTTGCATATGGTCTTTGTTCAGTTAAACGACATTTTCATTTATTAACAGAACGTATTGAAATTATTACACATGCAAATTCATTTATATTACCATTTTTGTTTAATTCAGTACTTGATATATATATATGTTATAAAATTTGTCAACGACGTAAACGTATAGCAATTAGATCCTCATTATTATCATCATCAAATAATCAAAATAGAACAAAAAGAAAACATCAACGATTAAAAAAATCGTTAGCACATGAAATAACATTAACATTATTATGTCAATCGATGTGGCTATTATTTACATATTTTCCAACACATTTATATTATTTTTTGATATCATTTAAATTAATTAATGATCATGATCGTGACAATTCAACAGTCAATTTTTTTATGAGACAAAATTTACTTATTTATTTAGCTTTTTCACCAGCACTTTATGTTATATTAAGCCCAACATTACGAAAAGAAATTCATTCATATATATGTCAATCATATAAAAGGCATCGAACAATAAGTCTATCACATACATCAAATTCACAAAATAAATTTCGAAATTTTTTTTTCGATCGTTATAATTCTCATCATTCTCATCATCAACAACAACACAGTACTCAACAAATAAATTTAGCTTTTTCAGTGACAACATGTGAAAAAGTGACTGGAAAATTTGTATCGAAATCATCAATATCTGTACCTTTAAAAATTCAATATATATCAAAAAGTCTACCATGTTTACTTATATACAATAATAAATATGAATTTGATGAACATTGCAAGATAGAACGATCAAATACAGTACATAAGTGATATAGTATTTCTTTTTTTGTTTCGTACCTGTTTTACATGTTGTTATGAATATCTATATAAAATCTGTGTTTTCTTTATTTTGTTTTACTTGAATAACACTACGTCAAACGTAGAATATTTGTTCATTATTATAAATAAATAAAAACTAATGATAAGATTAAAGATCGAATTTAACGTGCTTTTAGAAATTCAATTCTACCTATTTGACACACACCTATCATTTCTTTCTAAGTATAACACAGCAATCCTTGACGTACACTTTATTGTTGTTTGTACGATTTTTGTGTACATACAATATAAAATTCATTTTTATTTCTAAGATAATATTCTTTCTTTTTTATTGTAATATATATATATATATATATATACGTAAATATCTTGACATATCATCACATGAACTACGTAGTATATAATATTAAGGATAGTTCTCAAGATATTGTTATATTCACTTTAATTAATTATTTGCCATAAAGAATCTTATTGAACTTTTAGAAAATTAATAAGAACGAATAAAATTTTCAAATATAAAAGGTAAATTGCATTGCCTATGACAAACACTCTGTCATTCATTAATAATATAATTAGAATGTTGAAAACATGACAATCAGTGATCGACATAGAACAAAATGACTAAGATGTCATAAAGTATATGTAGAGAACTAGTCAATTAAACTTATTTTAAATTAATAAAATCTTGTCATATAAGGATACGTCATAGATCAATTACAGATGTGTATTTTGATGCATCAAAAGCAACAAAGAAAAGGAATGAACACCAATAATATGAATCATAGTCTGATTAATTAAAAAAGTCTGAATATTTTTTATGCGAAGATTCCGGATGCAGGACATTTGTACTGTGAACACACTTGATGGAATCTCAAAGAGTACAATGTCTAATTTTTCTTCTGCAGTATACAAGAGTTGCCAAGTAAACTTTCAGAAATATCCCAATGATTGACGTAACACTAATGAATTTCTTATGTCAGATCTAAATATAAGGTGTGTGTTTTTGATTCGTGAGAGAAATTGTTTTCTATTCAGTTTTATTTAATAAAAAAGTAAATTTTAGCTATTTTTGATATAAACTAATAATATAAGTTGAAATCAAATTAATTATACACACATATATGAGACGATTGCAAACCATTTGTCCAATTTGAACAACAAAAATTGCTAAGCTAATATCTTGCAGAATTCTCAATCAAATTCAAAAATTTTATGAGAAGATATTCATCACAGGTATGACTAATTTGGCTGCTAAAATCAGCCCTCTAGCTATTGTCTGTCATTAGAGGACGCGAAAATGATATCGCTTTTCCCCTTAAATTTCACATGGAAATGTGTAGTGGGGAGAAATTNTAGTGATCTTTAGCATACTATTATTTTGTTAAAATGTTATTTACGATTAACTTAAAAATTCTGAAAAATTCTTGTTAATGGGTTCCGGAAAATTAGACATTGCATGTTCATATTTATATTACTATTATTAAATGAGAATATGTTAATCAATATTATGCCATTCGAAACCTTCGTACAAGTACTTAAAATTCATATCGATACATTTAGTTATGGATCATACATTGTCTGCATATAAACGAATTTTCATAGAGGCCCAGAACTTATGGGACATCCTTTATAAGAATTGATTTTTCATCAATAGAAATCACTAGAAATTAAGCACGCCTCCCTCAAAGGTCAATTTTTGCATTTAGACAAATGAAGCGGGTTGAAATTTTTAGGGTATGTTGAGACTATAGTGCGGAGACTTTAGTAAAATATTCACCTCGATTTCATAACATTTGACAACGATATGAACCAAACAACGATCGAAAAATAGTTCATTTTCTGTCCAAGACTTTTCAGTCCAAGACTGTGCTACATTTTTAATTCTTTTCGTTAGAAAGAGTAGGTCAAGATGCAGGGAACCACAGAGCTCCTTTTTTTATAATCTTACTTTTTTAGCGAAGAAAGAGGATCACAAGTTCTATGTTTCAAAAAGTGGGTGTCTAATTACATATATGTTTGTATATATAATAAAGATAAAGCTTAATAAAAAAAAAGGTTCCGCCTGCACAGAAGATCAAAAAATAGCAAAATCGAGACAAAACGAAAAACATTTTTTTAACTGAAGTTTTTGCAGTTTTAGACAGTTTTTGGCATATTTGAAGAGAATAATGTTCAAAGATCTCTATGTTTTTTTAAGTGCTTAGTTTTCATTGAAAACTCTCAAAATCCATTTTTACAAGAGAAACCATCTTTTCAAGTAGTTCATTACAGAAATCATAAAAATTCTCCGCCAAAAAGAGGTTGTTGTATAAAGAAATTATATCATATCTAAAGATGGGCCAACTTTGCATACGTTTTTCTCAATTTCGAAACTTTTGACGAAAGTTGACATTTTTTGAGGGAGGAATGCCTCAAAGAAATCAAGAAATCAGTTTTTTAAAAGGTTCATATAAAGTATTGTCGCGATACAGAACTTTCATCGTGTGGAAATTATTTTCATAAAACAAAGGATGTGAGTGTGGATCTGAGAGAACAATAAACAATCACATCCACACCTTGATTGATTGATTACGTTTGAATACTTTTACTTAAAGATTGGCAAAAAAAGATTATTTGAAAATGCGACGTGTACTATTTTATACAGAGTTTTTTTTTCTATTCTTGTTAATTGGAAGAATTTTTCTTTGTACTTTCTTTCTTTGACAGAAAAAAAAATGAACTGACTCTAGAAGCCGAAATAAAATGTATTTAGTTATTTGGAACATTTTAATCCACTCTTGTTATACATAGAATGAAAAAAGAACCATTTAGACAAATTCAATGATAGAGCGATCATGCAATACAGAATAACATGTTGATTGTCAGACGAAATATCATTAAGATTCTGAACAAGCAACAGATTCGTTAAGCATATAAATTGGAGAGAATTTTCTCTCATTTAGAAACAAAGTTCGAACAATATAGAGATTGATCGACATTGTCACACAAATTAAAGTAGAATTAGTCGTAGTGAAGTGAACTTCGTAATAAAAATGCTTTTTGATTTTTGTTATTGTTGTTATTATTGAAAACTTATCTTCTGTCATGGATTCAAGTATTGATTCAGTCAAGAATATTCATTTAACGATGAGTAGCGACAGAGTTCATCACTAGTAAAATTCAAAAATTTTACTCATGCACTATTCTATCGTAGCGTGTTTGTGCACTTCCATGGATTTTAAGATACACGTTCAATAGGTCGAATTTATTTGAAATATAATAGAAATGGATAAGATAGTATTAAAAAAGAAAAGAATATAAAAAAAAAGAATCAGTTGAGAATAAGATTAATAATCGAACATGGCTGCTAATTGTTGTTGTGTAAACGTTTGACCGAATACAACTTGTTCAGACATATGCTCAAGTATTTGTTCAAAATCAGTTTTTCTCTAAATAAATATTACAAAGTGACTTATACAATCATAAAAAAAGTAAAAAAATATAGATTTTTTTCTTGTCATGCATCATGCAATTCTATTAAAGTGTGATTATGCAATACTAATTGATTTTTTTTTTATTTCTCTTTCTAATAACGATGTGATCTAACATGAGTATCTTCAGAAAAAAAATGTAGAAATGCTTCGACTATCTGAAGAAAATTTTACATTATTAAAAAAACAATCAATTATATTAAACTAGAATATTTACTCTTGCATTAGCAAATACTTGACCAAAACATGAAAGAAGTAGAGGATCTTCACGAACAGATTGCGAAAAATCATTATCACCCAAACGATTATCATGATCTTTATCCATTTTTTTTAATGTTATTTCAACTAATTCTTTAATACTTTCGTCTGGATCTTCATCGCCAGCTTGCTAAAACAAACAACCATATTTATTATGTTATCGATGAAACAAAAAATATTTACATACTTTGAGAACACTACTTTTGAGTAATTGAAAAATTTCTTCACGGGTTATATGTTTTTCACCTTTAAGTGAATAACAAGTGAAAGCAACTAAAAATAAAAATAAAAATAAAAACAATTTGATGTTCTTAATAAATAGTTACAAGCAATTTTTTCATCTAATGTTCCACGTAAATATGTATTAAGTCCAACAACCCATTCAAGCATGCTTACTTGCCCATCATTATCACGATCGAATGCTTTGAAGACTAATCGAAAACGAAATTTTTTTATTTTTTGTTTTAATTTTATTTTAATTACCTCTATCCATTAAAATATCATCAGTCATATCAAATGTATTATGTAGAATATCACGAAAACGATTTCGATCAATTTTTTCTAAATACAAAAAAAAAAATTCGTAGAAGAAAAAAATGTCTTTATATTGTTACCTTTATCACCACTTTTAGTCAAATGACGAAATATGGTACAAAGTGATTCAATTTCTTGTTTTGAAACTAAATGAATGTTCAAGATCCATTTTTTTTTTTGCATTAAATATTATCAAACAAAAATCAAAATGTTCAGTATTTACAATGAAATTTTTCCTTTCGTTTAGCTACTTCATCTATGACATGGTGAACAGCTTTTCGTGATACTGGTTGTCCTTTACCATGACTTATACTTTCCAATTTCTATAAATATTATTTTTAATAAATAAATTAACAAAAACAAAAAAAATGATGAGATATTTACCCATGTATGACGACTATGAATTTTTCGAATACCTGGTGAATCAACATTTTGAGCCGATGAACGACTACTTTTAACTTTTGCTGACGACATCTAGTATACGTGAAAGCAGGTCTTCACTTTTTCAATTTCTTCGTATACAAAATCAATGTATACATATTAGCCATTGTGAGTTTCAGACACTTGGAAACATCCATTAAATGCAATTATAGTTTTCAGTCAATTATATGTAAAATTATAGTATGAAAAATTTTGTTTTACTCTTTTAACAAAAATAGAAATGTCAAATATTTTTCAAAAGATATCAATAAATTAATAGAGGGCACTATTATCACAGGTTAATATTAATTGTTAAGAATAGTTTTGTTTTTAAGATAAGATTCTTGCCAAAAAGAAAGTAAAAATGATTGTATTGATAATAATAATGAATTTCAGATGTTTTTTTTTTGTTGTTGTTAGAAAGACAAATGATGCTATTGAAATTTTTAAAAATAAGAATCTCCTGTTTAATCATCTTTTGATTTAATTGTGTAGATACACATGAGGTATATTGAAATCTCTATTCAATTATAAATATATATTCTTATATCTATAATACATAAATGTAATTAAGTTGTATTCTACTAGAAATAGAAAACAAGATAATTATATCTACATATAGATTCTTGACCTATAAATGATGCACATAGAAAATGTTAAGCTATTGACTTGGAAAATATTTCTCTTTGACACAAAACTTGTCTAATGTATTTCGTTATGATTTTTTCTTATGTTGTAAAAGCATTCATCAGTTTAATAATGTTTGATATACTTTTAAAAATACAACAGTAGATCAATAATGACATATCATCATTCTTCGTTCTTTAAAGTTGAATAAATTTAATAATAGGAAAATTCATCAATGATACTATTCAAAAACAGATACACTTTTTTGGTGTTAATTATTCGTCAAAAACATTCAACTATCCGATATAGTTGTTGTTTTTCTAAACTTTGTCTACACAAATGTACGTTTTCAGTTCTTTATTGTTACTTAGATGAATCGATTGACAAAAATCATATGTTTCTCACTATTATTTCCATCTAAGCAGAAGCAGACATTCTGATCATACTTCAGATTATTTTGTCTGTCATCCTTTGTACTCAGATTCGTCTGAGACAATGTATAGTGTGTCAAAACTTTTCTTAAAGTTTCTATATGCTTACATTAAGCTGTAATTTTGTAAGAAAAACTGTCATGAATTACACCGAAAATATCAAATAGAATTGTTAGACTTTCTACAACAATATGATAATGAAAGATTGAAGTAAAAATGTCGATTTAAAGTTATCTATGAGTTTTACTAAAATCCACTAATGTTTTAGAAAAAAAAAATCAATGGACTTATACATTATTTATATAGATGGTAATGAAATAGAGTTAGTATTGATTTTTGTCAGGATTGTATAAATCATAAATAATTGTTTTACGTCATGACCAACAGATTTTTTGTTTGCAACTATCAATCATATAGAAAAGTCATTTAATTCTATGATAGCGAATATTCCTTGAGAAAAAAATCAATAATACAAAAAAAAAATTGATGATGAAAACCTATCATTAAAATACTGTATCGGGTTTCAAATCTAATCTAATAAGTCTTTCCTGAATTTGATGTAGTTCTGTCAAGTGTAATAATAGTTTTTTTTTCTTCAAACAAACCATTTCCTTCAAAAGGTTAAAGATTTCTCTATTTAACTAACGTTTGTGAAAAAAATTTCATGCTCAGTATAAAATTGCAATTTATTATCTTTGTTAATCACACAAAATAAAAATCCGACACAAATTCCTGTCGGATAAAGATTGTAACCAATTTCATTTAGGTTAAGAAGATTACTCTTAATCTAAAATGGTTTATATTAATTGCAAATATTACTTTTTCTTTGAAAACATTTTTCTAATAACAAATGAAGAAGAAGTCATTAGTTTTCTGTTTTTTTTTGTTTATTTGCCAAATGTCTGCTATGTATGATATATAAGCAAAAGATGTCAAAACACAGATCCCAGGCAGACAAAACTTTCGAAAAACGTGTTTAAACGCACAATCGGGAACCACGACTGTGATCCACTCACGCTCATTAAAAAAACGCAAGAAACGACGTTTTTTGTACAAAATAGTCACTTTTCAAGCGTGAAAACGGTGGAAAACTTAAATTTCTAGTGTTAAAACGTTCTCTTTTTCTAGATTTAAAAAACGACGTGTTTAAACGCTCAGTTTTTTATATTTTTGCCGTTTTCACGCTTGAAAATTGACTATTTTGCACAAAAAACATCGTTTCTTGCGTTTTTTTAATGAGCGTGAATGGATCACAGTCGCGGTTCCCGATTGTGCGTTTAAACGCGTTTTTTTAAATTTTTGTCTGCTTGGGATACACAGTGGCAATACATCATATTTCGAAGAAATCAAGATATTTATTCTCGTTATTTTTTATCAATATTACTACATGAATCAAAAAGATTATTTTCAATCAATTTTTGCTTTTGCATTGAGTATTTTCTTTTAGAATATAAAGTTAATCGAAAAATAAGACCATTTGACTAGCTTTTTCCGCATAGATTTTAGATGTAACCCTTAATCAATTTTCTGCTCGAAACTTTTCAATAAAGATGCTAATATTTATGTCAATCGTTGAAACAATTGGGAAGTCTATATATGCATGAAAAACATATACTGATATTTTTTTTTATCGAGTTCTTATTGGTTGTTAGTGTATGTATTTGAAATTATCTTTATGAGTTCAATTGAAGGTAAATATTATACGAGCGAAATTTCTTGACGAACGAATACTTGAAAATGTAATCATCTTTTATCATACAATTTGAATAAGGTTAACCGATAGAAGGTAATCAGAATTTTTAATATCGTTAAGCTATTGATTTAGCAGGTGTTCCACAATAAATGTGTCGAAATATTATGGTTGATATTCCTCACTTTTAAGAAGCGTTTCATCTTCTGAAATTTTATGATTTCAGAAGGTCGAATGTTTCTTTTATAATGCATAACATCAACTTGAATGTCACCGTATCAAACAATGAAACACCTGCTGAACAAATCTCGATCTTGAAACTTATTGTCCAAAATCCTAATTGATAGTATCAATGCTCAAATCTAAATATAGCGTATAGAGAATACATTTTAACAGTCTACATTAAATTGCATTTGCATTATATACATAGCACAAATGTTCTTCATAGTAACAACCTTGCTGTACTATGCTAATAATAGTTATATAGTGCCATCTGTTAGTATTTTGTCATAAAAATTATATTTTCTTTAATTATTTTAATGAAATTATAATTTTTTTTTCACATTTATTGATTCACTTCAAATAAAATATAGAGAATTGTATAAAAAAAATAAAATAAACAGCGTCATCTATTTGATATTTGTCGTATTTGTCTCAAAATTATAAAACTTGAAACTAATAATGAAGAAGATACTCAAATACATTTATGAACTCAATATCGAATCGTTTAAAGATCATTTGTATACTTAACACTTATAAAAAAAAAAAATAACTTTTTTCGATAATCTTCTCGAATTACTCATCAATAAATCGCATGGTTAATCATCTATTCAAATTCCAATGAATCCTAAAAAATGATTCTTTATTCTTATTTGACATTTAAAGCTTGTTTCATTATATTGATTCAATTGAAATAAATTTCAAATTTTTTATTTTAGACTATTTTCTATTTTTCATGGCATCAAAAATATTAAAAGCGGTATAAAAATTCAATAAAAATCTATGTTAAATTATAAATTTTCTTCTTTTATAGACAACAAATCTAACTGGATTAACTGTATGCAAAGATCCACATTATGTATATAAATAATAATTTATAATTATCATAAAGAAATTTGTTTTCTCTTTGTTTTAATAGGCATTAAAACTTCTTTATGGAAAAATTTTACGTGATCTTAAAAGTATACCTGAAACATCAGCATATAGAAAATATACTGAAGATATAGTTAATTCACGTCTTGAACATGTTGAAAATGTATATTTAATATGAAAAAAAAAGAAGCAAATATATTATTTATTAAAATTTAATTCTAGGAATCAAATATCGCTCGTCTCGAACGTAAAATTAATTGTGGTCAAATCGAAGAAGTCATTGTACAAGTAATTATTTTTAAATAATACAAGATTAATATAATCTTTCGTCATTTTGTTAGGCTGAAAATGAACTTATGTGTGTACGTCGAATGGCTTTAAATCATGTTTGGGAACCACTTGTCGCACAAGCACCAGCTAATCAATGGAAATGGCCTATTGTTTAAATAGAACTAATTTTCATTTTTTTTCTCTCTCTCTCTCTAGTATAGCCTGTCTCTTTTTTTTTTCTTATGAAAATACATACCCATTATGCTATACATCCATGCGTTTAATGTCTTTTAGATATGTAGTTGTGCTGAATTTCTAAGAAAATTTCTTTGTGTTTTTTTCAATTCTCATGTATGTCGGATACGTCTAAAATAATCGCAAGTAATGATAACCATTCGAATGAAATCAATGATGAACCACTTGATCCACGAATACAAGTATAAAAAAAAATTTTTTTTTCGAATAAATTGAAATTAAATATATTGAATATACTTTGTCTTTTATTTTTTTGAAGATTGAATTAGAACGTGCAAATGCTGCAACAAGTCAAATAAATAATCTTGAAACTCAATTAGATGTAAGATTTGTTTTCATTTTTCTTTAATAATAAAACTTAAATTAAATTGTTTTAGAATGCTCAAAAATTATTTCAAATAAGCTTTACTAATTGTAAACAACGTTTAGCTAACCTAGCAAAAACACTTGGTCGTTGTGTTGAACGTGCACGACCATATTATGATGCTTGTCAACAAGCTGAAGAGGTTAGAATTGTTTTGTCTATTATTTAAATGATTAGTATACAGATCAACGACACTGGCTAAATCAGAATTTTAGACTAGGGGAAGCTCAATCCTCCTCCTACAGATTCTTGAATCTTCCTTGGTAAATTCGGTCGAGTCAAGATCGGAAGAAAACTTTAATGCATGTAATTTATTTTTAAATTTTGTTTGTTTTATTCAGAAAACCTTTAATTTGTTTATAAACAAATTAAAAAAAAAAAACTTATCTTGCCTGAAAAAAATCTTTTGAAAGTCTGGTTAGAAGAACTGAGCCTCTCCTAACTCTGCCACTGATTAAATAGTCAGTTTATTATCTATAATTAATGAGACGAACAAAATATATTTTATAAACGTGAAAAGTATTGATTTTACCAAGGGAATTTTTTTAATGGCTACGTCGAAATATTTGTCATAATTGATATGAGAATTCAGTGGAATTTGCATTAAACACTACAAATTATACATTTTTATGTTTTCGATGGGTTCTGTTTTCTTTTACTGTGTTATCAATAAATTTATCAATAATGATTATTCATCATATATCATTAATTGTAGGATTTAGACTACAGATTTAATTTTCAATTGCATTAGTGCTGAAAATAAAAAACATTATGCTCTAACGTCATAATTATAAGGTACGCATGTGGTGCAATTCTTCTTTCTTTCGAAAAATCATTCACATTAACCCCCTGCTTATCCGAATAAATGCTTTACAAAAAAGACATAATTTTTTTGACCGATTTAGAATACTCGCATAAAGTATCGAAAGCACTTGGTTAGAATCAGAATTTTCTGTTTTTTTTTTTCGAAGGTATGTTCAGACTTTTCGTGAGACTTATGATTAGGAATTAGAGGCAAATATTTGAAAGATCTAAACAAACTTTGAACGGAGACAACTTCGCTAACAGATGCTGAGACAGAGTATGCAACTGTATCCTATGGGAAATTGATTTCATGTTGTTGTTCCGTGATTTTTCTCGTTACTTCTTTTTTCTTAACTGCATCACTTGTTTTCAATTTTTTTTTCGATTAGTGCCTGCATAATAGACTTCCTTCTCAGCAATTAAGTCTCTTACTGCATATATTCTATTAAACATTTTTCATACAGAACAAAATTCGAGACTGTATTTTACAAAGTCAACTAAAAATTAAGAGTCTCGTAGCTATCCGATAGAAACGATCTACTTGATTGAGACCTTTCAGAAAACTGATGATCAGAATACCCTTGTGTAAAGAAATGTTTTCTCTTTCTATTGATGTATTGAAAATAAATGTTGTGTTAAACATCGAAAACTGTCCAAATTTTATTTTTCAGACCTTTCAAAGATTTTTTCATAACTTCGAACTTATGAGTCTTACAAAAATACTGAACATAGATCCGGAAACAACAGGGTATGGATTCGAATGGATTTCCATTTTCTTCACATGTGCACTCACGCAATCTTATGATTATCATAGTCAGCTTCAGTTTTATCAACAGTAACTGTTTTTCAATATTTGCATGTTATAGTAAATAAATACTTGCTGCATGTTAAGGTCCACAAAGCTTGGTTTTATTGCATCTGTAATAAACTGTTTGTCTCATTCAGTTCCAATGGATATTTCTGCTTCATGAACATTATCAAATGTAGTCTCATCAGCCTAATATTTTGATTTCTTTCTTTTCTATTAATTTCATCATTTTCTTTCATAGGCTTTTCTTCTGTTATATCATTTTCATATTGAGCAACTTATACTACGTCTATCATTTTTACTTGTTGACTCTAAGCTAAAATCAGAGAAAAGAATAGAAACAAAAAAAATACATATATGTCTGTTGCACATAGCATTTGTACTACATAATATATAGAAAAAATCTTGCATCAACTATAACGCATTTCAACTTGTTTACACTTACGCATTGATTTAATTGACTATGAGGTAATTAAATTTCCTAATTTTGAACACTATTAATAAATCTGATTTATCACTAACTGATCATTTTAATAATTTACTGATTTAGTACTTATTTAACATACTAATGAAATATTTTATCGCTTAAATTTTAATTACAAAAAATTATTTTGTTAGGCACGATTAGAAACTCGAAAAGCTGCACAAGAATATCAAAATTCTGTTGAATTATATCGTACAGCAAAAGAAAATTTGATTCTTGCAGAAAATAAATTATCAAATTCAGATAATATAACATGGCAAGAATATGTTAATCATATAAATATGAAAGTAAAACATACAAATTTTGATAAAAAAAAAAAAACAGAACATTATCAAATATAAATATTATTATCTAAGATTATACAAACTGAGCAAGATAAACTACGTTATGAACAAATACATGAAGAAAAATCAAAATTTTATCAAGAATATGAACAACAAAGAATAAAACATTATCGTTCATTAACAAGAATGATTACTAAATCAAAGTATGACAAGATAAAAAATAGAGAGATTTGTATGATATAATTATTTCTATTTTATAGACCTTATTTTGATGCAAAATTTAAAGCAGAAAATGAACTTAAAGTAAAAAACGAAATAAAAATGAATTAATGGAGAGAAACTAAATTTTTCTATGTAGAATCAAAAATGTCGTATCGAAGATGTACAAAATGCAATAATTCAAGCCAAAAAAACTTATCGTGCGGCATTAAATAATCTTGAACAAATATCCGATGAAGTAAATAATTAAAATTTATTAAAATATACAAATTTTTTTTTTTTCTTATTCATTAGATTCATACAAAACGTAAAAATCAAATTTTAATGAAACTTCCTTTACGTGAACCAACCGTCGGTGCTGAAAAATCCGATGAATTTATAGAATTACCTACGATTGGTAAATTTTATCTAACTTCTATTATATTGTGTTCTTTTTGTATTCTTTTTTTTTTTTTTATTACATACTTCCCAAATGTTGACCTTTCTGATGACTCATCTGATAATGATTTTTCAAAATCAATGAATTCATTATCAATTAATACAAGTACGGATTGCATTTATCCATCATCTAACATTAATATGTCTAATAATCTTTCACCATTAATAATAAATAAATTTCAAAATAACTCTAGTACACAAACAATTTCAAGTGTAAATAGTGAAAATGATCAACAACTACGAAAACATATGAAAACACGTAAAAATGGTAGAATAAAACCAATAGAAATGTTAAAGAATAATGAAACGCCATTGCTTTCGCATCTTTTTGGAACACATAAATTTCATAGTGATTCAAATTTAAATAGAATAACAAAACAATAATTAATATCGTTTTTCTTGCTTTATCCTTTCATTTTCTTCTTATTTTATTACAATATGATGATATATAGCACTACTAACAATAACAAAACATTATTTTTCTGTTCTTCTCCTTCTTCTTATTATTATTGTATATATTATTGTGAATAATTGAATTGATCTGGCAATACATTGCAGTACAGTTTTTCCTTTTTTGTACTTTAGATGATAAAAATATATGATTGACAGAATCTGATGAAGATTATATTTTCAACAGCAAATGTTTGGGCTTATCAATAGCTCGATGTTAACTATTATTGCAGTTGATTCTTTTGAAATTGGTCTAATTAAAAATTAATTGGATGCATTAAACAATCATGATTATCAATCAATGTAAAAAGAAAGTGTCGAGTTATTTAACCTTCACTATTCGTTTATTACCATAATATAAACACTTTTTAGATTTATGATCGTAATCTATCCTTTCTTAAACTCGTTCTATTTATAAACCTTGATCAGAGTTTGTAGTCCTATTCCGTTTATATGCCGAAAAAGGATTTATGCATAGAGAAAATAGTAGAAGTGTATATGAATTTTCAACGGTTCACAAATCCTTGCAAATTGGTATGAACAGAAAGGATCTATTATACTCATCAACCTAAAAATGGTTTATATTATGGCAACAAACGAATAGGGAGATTTTATTATTCCACACTTTTTTTCACAATAGTAGGCATGTACCCAAATCGGATCATTAGACTTCTAAAGATTTAGTCTTGATATTCATTGAAAAATAGAGACCTATCACTGATACAATTCTTGTCTTTTTACCTTGTTCTCGAGCTCGAATCATTTCAATTTTGGTCCATGCCTAGTTAATAATTACAGTTTTTTTGTTTTTTAATATATAGACTTTGATGAAATGTATAAATTCTTTCAATTCCATCACGTTTTTTTTTTCGTAATAGAGACGATCGCAATAGAAAAAATAATTTCCTTCGAAGATTTTCTCTTTAATAGTCAATGTATGATATTTAGATATAATTTTCGACGTTTTAATAGACATCCGAGATTTGTTTTATAGAAGATTTTCAAAAAAAAATATCATCATGTATTTTAATTTTTTGAACGAATAATATCCTAAACTATTCAATGAGAAAGAGAAAATGACATAATCTCTTTTTTTTTTTCGTTCATTAGTAGGAATCTTTGTTGAAAGAAGTAATGAATCTGACTTGAAAAACTGTTGTATCTGTTCTACTCCAAATATAAAAAAAATCGTTTTCTGTATATTATAAAACAATACTTATTTCATTGCTTTTTTTTTTTTTATTCGGAAAGTATTATTTGAATTAGATTGCATAATACACATGCCGATAGAAATACGTTCATATAGAAACTTTTCGAGATTGTCTTTATTCATATCATATTTGCTAGATATATCAAGACAATGACAAATAGTTATCTATATATCTTCTTTTGAGTACTTTTATTGTCAACATACTTCTTTACTCATATTTGAAGTTAATAAAAACAACTAAGAATAGATGTTTTTTTTTACGTTCTGTTGTCGAAATAGGCGGAGATTTTTCTAGCTACTGGAAAGTAAATATATTCGTTTGACACGTTCGTAATCCTTTTTCTTTTTGTTGCCTTTTTTAGTTTTATGAATTGCAAAGTCCTAAAAAAACATACCGATCAGTTTTTTAGCGTAATTCTCCTTGTCTAATGAATGTGATGCATTTCATACGTTAATCTATTAGAAAAATTATCTTAAAAGTTGTTTTTTTTATACTAAGAAGAAAAAAAAAATTTTCGTTCTCTTTTCGTTATGGCGACAAATACGTCGAAGACTCCTGTTCCCTCCGTTATCAATTACGTTTCATCTATAAACGTCACCTATATGCATATATATATATTAAAGTATACAATCAACATATAAACGTCAATCATCAATTCAGCCATGTGTAGATTCAATGTCATGCTTGTTTCAACGATGAATCAATAGCTATTTTGTCTAATGAATAAAATTTTAGACAATTGGAAATGATTTCTTTTTCGAAAGGATTGCGTTAATAATACACAATAATTCGTATTATCATATTTTGTTTAGAAAATAATATTAATTGAATTTGATCTCTTTTAGATGATTGAAAAACTAAAGATCAAATGACCAGCCGTAATTTAACATCAAATTTTTTGGAATTTCGAAATCGTGCTGCACGTGATCGAAATTTCCATGCTGACGAAAAAGTATGTTTACTTAATAACACTAATTCAGTATTCATCTCACAAGAATCTTGACTAAATAATACAAAGCAGTCCTAGATGAGAAACAAGCTAATTATTAAAGTCTACTCAGGTTGCATTGTCTTATCTATTTTAAATTCGTAAAATCAGCATTATCAAACTGTTAGAAAATCTTCGCAAGAGTCGATTTTATTAAAGAAGTTTACATCATCAAAAAGTCTCTATTCACCCTAAAAAAGAAATTAGTTTTTTTGAGATAAACATACAGAAATGTGCTCTAAGGTTTCTGCTTTAAAACTTTCATTATAAAAGTTTTTAATTAGTATCTAATATATTTTCTATTATTTATCTAGTCTAATGATGATCGAATGGCATTAATTCAAAATGAAGATGAAGAAGTTGTACAATTTGAAAAAAACATTCCACCATCATGGTAATTGTCTTTCTATTTTTAATTCATTTTTATTTTTCAATTTATTAATTTAGGATGGATTCTCAACGTCGAATACAATTACAACTTGATCAAGTACGAAGTCGAAGTAAGTTTATAAAATATAACAAACAAATAACAGTTTCTTTTTCTTCTTCCAGTGAAAAAACTACAACAATTACATGATAAACATTTAACAAGACCCGATTTCGATGAAAACTCAAGTGAAGAAAAAGAAATCGAATCACTCACAAAAGATATTACTGCAGTAAGTGTTTTTTTTCTTATCATAATTTCAAATAAATAATTCTTTTCTTTTTCTGCAATTAGATGTTAAATGGATGCCATACATCAGTTCAACAACTTTCAAATCAAGCAAATAAACCACATGTTAATGCTTATGATAAACGTTTAGCTGGCAATGTTGTTCAAGCTACAGCAAGTGCTTTACAAGATTTAACTATTAAATTCCGTAAATGTCAATCAACTTATCTCCATAGTAAGTATTTTCTTCAAAATAACAATGTTTAGAAAGAAAAAAAAGATTGTAGCGAACTTCTGGAATTCTATGCAATATATCACCGATAACAGACTTCAGTTCAGTATTAATAGTAAAACACGAAAAAAACAAAACTACAGATTGGAAATTTTTAATAATTCTATAGACTCTAAATTGTATACAAATGTTTCAGTTGCGATAAGCTTTCATTTGATATATCACTTATTTTTTGAATTGTATCCTGTAAGAAGACGTTCCTGATAGTTTCATTTAAACTTTAACCTTACAGAAAATCAGATCTGTTATTTGCAACATTAAACACAGATAAAACACCATTAAGTGGATAGTATTAACTAATTGTTCAAATGTAATTAAGGGTACCATAGCCTATATTTTTGACCGTTTCTAGTTCTTGAAGATGATGCAATCGACCAAGCTAAAATTCCTACACCAGAAGTAAGGAGGTACGTGTTCGATAGAAGACATTTTGAGATGAATTTTTGAAGTTACTCGAGAAAACTCTGGTTTTCACTGGACAACATCCTGATACATTACGACTCCCATCAAATTTTATCTGATTGGATTGAAAAAGTATTTGGAGATGCCTGTAACGTTCTCGGCTGAGTTTATTGTGTGTCATTATCTACTTTCACTTCTTGGTTGAATTGACTGTTCATACATAATATTTAACCTTCCTTTGTCATCTCCTTTTACCACATGCTTTGTCCTTCCATCTTTCGTAACGGGATATCGCAAACTATTTTATCATTTGCTGTGACGACACCGATATATCTGTCTTCTTTCATAATTACTCTTTCTGTTATCCCTACCTTATTCTTCTCTTCTCGTTCTCTCCTGATTGCCTATATAAACACGTACTTTTATATGGAAGCAAGACGATTGGCAATATGAAGAAGAAGAATAGAGCGTGACTCTATTCGGATTAATATTTCTACTATCAACATATCTTTACAATACTTAAGAACATGTCTCAGAGGTAATTTTAAGCTTTTATACAAGTTCCATTTCCTTTTTTTTTCAAGAAAGAAATATGTAAAGATTCGATGCCAAAACTCGGCTCTTGACTTTCAGGATTCTGTAAATCTAAGTAGGATATTAGAAAAACGAAGATGGTTCGTTTTATCTTTGGAGAATACTTCCAAGTATTAGTGATAAAAATTTCCGTCCGATTGAACAAAGTTAAATGGAGATCGTAAGCAGCTAGAATGCGTTTCTATGAAAACTAGGATTTCTCAGAGAAAACCGCAAAAAATCATTTCAAAATTCTTTTTCCTCAAACACCTGTCTCTTTATTATTGGTGTAAAAATTTCAGCGTTATCTGCTGTATCGTCTTTGAGAATTAGAAATCGTCAAAAAAGACTCAGAAAATCGTTCAACAAGAATATTGAGAATGTGCTACAGATAATCCTTATTCGAAAAGTTTTGAAAAAAAAATATTCATTCGTTTGTCGATCATTTGAAAACAACTAATGAAAATAACAGAAAAAATAGTTTGATCGAATTGCACTTACAAATTTATATACGAAAGTTTTCTTTTCGTCAATTTGATATGGTAGCCGAAACTTTGAAAAGCTTGAAACAATTTAATATTGCACAGTTTATTCTACAAACTATCTTATCTAGTTTTGTTTTATAATTTGTAGGAAAGCTTTGAAAAATGTATTGCATTTTAAAGAACGATTGCTGAAAAATTGGCAAAATGCACTTCTCCATGAAAAGTAATTCCTCGAAAAGCATACTTTTGAATTAAAATGATCACAAAAAAATCCAATTAAAATAGGCTACAAATTAAACAGAAAGGAAACTTCCAATTTCGTTTATACAGACGCTATGTTTCGCTCTTGGGGAAAAAAAATATTAATCACAATTAACCAACTGTAAACTAGACAAAAATTCTAAACACGTATTCAGCAAGAAGACGCAATCCTGATTCTAATTAATTGTTTTTAATTTTCATCAATAACTGTTATACAATGGAAGTCAAAGGATTTTCTTCCTCTTGATAATTTTTCACCAACTATACAGCAGCATCTAGGTGATGATAGAAAAGATTTACAATCATATCATCATGGTTGGTCTTAATATTCATTCACTTCATATATAATACCATATTTTGATCTTTTTTTTAATCAATCAATTGTACCATCGCAGTGGTGATGAACGTTTAGCAATTGATTACAACCGATGACTGTTAGTACCATAAGGATATTTCTGAGGAACGTTTTGCTTGCAATAATGTGTGTGTTTATTTTATTTAGCAGTCATAATGAGTATTAATAAAAACGATTCGAAATAGAGATATTAGTTTAGAATATGACATGATCACCAGAGCGATTTATCCAAAAATCAGACATACTAATTTTGAGATCCTAGAAGACTTTGCTGGAGCTGTATTTTAACAGTGCTGTTTTAAAAAGCACAAAGTTCTGAACAAAATGTAAGATCGTCGCAATTTCTACGACTCTTCCTTACAAATTAAAAAGTGCCGCAAAATCGTTAAAGACACGGAATTTATTTAAAAAAAATCAACTTTTTTCAGTTTTGTGATACTTTTACCTTTTTTAAGAGAAAGTCGTAGAAAATCTGACTACCCCTCATCTTGTTCTCTTTAAAATGCTACTATTTAAAAAAGCTCAAACAAAGTCTTCTGGGATCTGAAAACTATATTGTTCTATTTTTCGTATAAACTCTGTCACCATCATAGTGCATCTATAAAAACTTACTGTTGAATTCATAAGATAGAAAACTTTATTGGCTATCAAGTAATTATCTGGATTTGTGCTAGATGCTTACGATTATAGAAAAAAATTCGTTGTAGTTAAACTTTTGTCCACCACATTTATATATATTTTAAGCATAAGGATGTAAAGAGATGAACAAGAAGAAAAAACGAAACAGAACAGAAGATAAAGTCGATGTCATTATGTGCACATTGACACGACATATATACAGAAAACATGTTTTGATTACAAACTGGATTTTTTCAAAAATTCCATTAACAAAAAAGCCTCGATCTCGTTCTATCAATTAGATTATACTCATAGGCAGAGTTTCGCATGGATAGAAATATTGAACTATCTTAGTTTTGATCCAAATGTTTGTATGTTAGCACAAATATAAAAAAAGTAACGAACATTTAGAATTCGCTTGCCTCACATTGTAGAAAAAAAAATGTTATTACTACTTTTTGATCTCATCTTTATTTTTTATTCAAGAGAAAAAAACCGTAAGTTGCAGTGCATTTCGTAGTTTCTTGCTATGTTTGAGAAAAAAACGAAATGTATCAATAGAACAACAAAAACAAATATCTAGCTGATACATTTATTTGACTTCCATTGGAAAAAATATTTTGTCCGAAGATTTTTTTCAAATGTAGATTTTACATATATGAAGAAAAATGTTCATCTCATTTTTATCTATTAATTTTATCTTGTTCTTTTTCTTTTGTTTAGAATTGAAATCTCGAAAAGAAAATTTCAATCGTATCATGCCGGATCTTGAAATTGATATGCATTCTAATCCATTTGGTGATCAAGATGATGCTGATAAAAATTTCGACCAGATATCTGCAAGAACAAAATAATGAATTTTTTATTTATTTTACATTTTATTGTATTTAGTTAACTTCTGAAGATCAATTACAATTAACATCACAAAATGTTCAATTTTTAGAAAAACGCGATAAAGAAATTCGTGAAGTATTAAAATCCATTGAAGATGTTAATGACATATTTCGTGATGTAGCAGCACTTGTTTCTACTCAAGTAAGATTTACGAGATATTTTGAAGTGTCAAATCGAGACTATGTGCATTCTAATGACCTATGAATATTCTGAAAAGAATTCGGAACAATAGCTTATTACTGCTGAGATATTGTAGTTTTTAGCAGAATACCTAAATTCTCCTCTGGAAAACTGAGTTTCAAATTTCGTCTCGAAACATTACATTGAAACATACTTTAATAAGAATAGTCTTTTGTAAACACAACGACAAATTTCGATATTCTTATTTCAGAATAAGTGCTGCCAACAATTCGAAACTTTCACTATAAGCTATTCTCGCTAAGATCTGCCTCTGTGCAAAATTTCAAGTCGACATTTGAAACACAGTTTTCCTGACGGCGACTCCGGCATTTCGAAAAAAAATACATTATCTCAACAGTAATAAGTTATTAGCCCGAGCTCGTTCCAAGATATTCATAACTAATTAAAATCTATGTGATGCATATAATCCTGACACAAAAACGAGTTTGACATTTAGAAATATTCTTTCGTTAGGTTTTTTTTTTGTCTGTGAATTAAAATATGATAAACATTCTATTTAGGGAACAATTCTTGATCAAATTGAATATAATATTGAGAATACTGTCGTTCAAATTGAAAAAGGAAATAAACATTTAGTTAAAGCTGTCGAACATAAACAACGTGGTTTAAAATTTAAATTAATACTTATTAGTGTTGTTGTATTTGTTGTGTTATTTATTGTTTTAGTTGGAGTTATATCTAGATAAAATTATTATGTTTTTGTTCGTTAATCTCATTATTGAAAAATTTTATTTCGTAATTAAAAAGAAAATTAAACAAAATATATTATGATTATTATTTTTTTTCCGTCTGTAAAACTTTTGTTGTCATTAATTAATATTGTTTTGCATGTTTATTTATTCATTTTCTTTTTAGATTATTTCAATATGCATAGAATATATTTATCATTATCGATTTTTTTATTTACATTGTCAATTATTCAATGTGATATAACAAATCTTGATGAATTTTTTCATGTACTTAAACAGAATTCATCAAAAGAGTATCCAGTTGGATTTCTATCACAAGCTAATTTTGATGTTGTCAAAAGATATCTACCAAAAAACATTAAAAATGCATTTTTTCATGATAAAAACGAAATGTTAAAAGCTATTGAGAATGAAAAAATTATTGGTATATAATATATATATATATATCGTAATCTGATTTATGACACTAAATAAATCTTTTTTTTTTTCTTCTAGCCGGTGTTACAACAGGTACATCCGCTCAAGACACAGACTCACGTTTTCATGTATTTTCATCGTTATTGGTTTCACCACAAGCAATGCTTGTTGCACCTGATTATGACCGTATATTAGCACCATATGGATTGCAAAACACGTCAAGTAATGATTTATTTGATGCACTTAATGCTGCTATAGCTGATGTACAAAGAGAAGATACAGATGAAACATTACTCACGAATAATAATATAACGAATTTAGTTCGAGTTTATACATGCCGTCAAGAAATACAATTACCCGTTCCTAATCGTGATGATACAACGGGTTATTTACGTGATATATTATTTAATACAACAAATATTGTAATTGGTGGTGTAGGACCAAAGGATTGGGGTGTACATGATGGAAATTATAAACTACCGTCACCTACTGGTTTTTATCCTCAATTACTTGAAGCTATTGTTGAAAAACTTGGTAAATTAAAAGGACCAGATGGAATTGTTTATAATGAAAAATTAACTTTTCAACGAAAATTTTATAATACTTCAGAATTGCTTTTTCAAGCTTTACTTAATGGAGATATTCATGCAACTGATATTTATATACTTATTGATGCACCGTATAATGGTACAGGTGAAGAATGTTCAAATAATAGTCAATGTCGAGCACGTGAAACGTGTGCCGACGGTATTTGTACTCATCCACCACGACCAAGATCCCTTCACTTTCGTACAACATGTACAACTGCTAGTCGTGATACGAAATTTATTACAAAACAAAATAGTAGTTTTCTAAGGGTAAGTATTTGAGGAGACTTTGACATTAATGATAGACTAATGTCTCATAATTTCTTGGTTTTTTTTTTTTATATAGTAAATAGTAATGAGTTTAGTCACCATTGAAATTTTAGGCTTTATCTGACCACTTTTTCCAAGACAATTATTTAAAATACTGACAAATTTTCTTCGTAAAAATAACTTTTGTCTTTCGTAGTGAGAAAGTTTTGACTTGATGTTCTTCTAGTCATAATTACTAGTGGTTTCTACTACTACTACGTAAGAAATTTCAGAAATTTTGCTTTAGATAAATGTAAAATATACAAATATCTCAAATAGACCTCTATTCTGTCCTTTTTGGTATATTTTGTTAGCAAAATGTGCGGCAAGGAAATTTAATAATACGCCAACAAAGGAATCTCTTGATATTTTCACCAATGATAGAACTCAAAAAAAGTTCTATCGTTTGATATATTTAATAATTTGGATGCTTGCGAAATATCAATCACTTTCAATCGAAAATCGTCTTTTTCCTATCATTCATGAGATATGTTTGAAGAAATTGATAATATAGAATTATTAGACTAGTTCTTCGATGTTTTGTAGTGTTAACAAAAAAGCTGATACATATTAAGAGAAAAAGAAAATTTCCATAGAAAATAGCATAAAAAAAGAGGAAGTATTTTCAGATTTTGATTGCGAAAAGTTGACTTTCATTAGAAATAAAACTTTTGGGGTAAATAGTTGAGTGGGAACATAATGAAATTTTCATACAAAGTAATTCAAGATGAAAAATATGTTTACTAGTGCTGTTTTGCATGATGATTGCGAATATAAGGTTTATTTTGGATAAAAGTCAACCTTTTTCACTCAAAACCTGAAAATACTTGCTTTTTTTAAGGTTATTTTCTGTAGAAGTTGCCTCCCTCTTAATGTCTGTCATCTCTTTTGTTTACATGTGAATAAAACGCACTTGACAGACGGTTTGTTAACAAAAACTATCAAAAAGCATAAAATAGAACTTTGTTTGAAGTATCTATATATTTTATATTTAATTAAAGAAAATCTCTGAGATTTCTTACGTAGTAGTAGAAATAAATTCATCATTATTTTAAATAATTTTCTTGGAAAAAGTAATCAGATAGATTTGAAAGTTTCGGAATTTACTAAACTCATCATCATCTACAATGCATCAACAGATTAAGAAATTCTGAAATATTACTCCAACGTTGATGTACTAGAGTGACTGATTTTCTAAGACACTCGTAAAAACTGATACAATAATTTTAAAAAAATATTCGAAAATGAAACGACAAAGAATAGTCGATTATTTGTAGCAGCTAATATCATTGAAAAAAGACTATATTTTTTTCTTTCATATTTTAGGGAGACACATCGTCAAATAATCAAGCTAATGATTCTCGTCAAACACCAAAAACACGTTGGATTGGTTTTATTTTATTGTTTGTTGCGCTTTTTGGGACTATATTTCTTGGATTAATTATACTTATGCGTCGAAAAAAACATTATCGTGTTGAACGTACAATACAAGGGGGTTTTGGTAAGTTTGCTCGTCTTCAAGAAGAATCTGAACCACCTATTGAAGGTATGGATGCATTTGATGACCATGTTGTACAATCACCCAGAGAGAATATCAATTCAACAAGTTAAACTGATGTGCTCTTGTGGCGCAATTGGTTAGCGCGTTCGGCTGTTAACCGGAAGGCTGGTGGTTCGAGCCCACCCATGAGCGTACTCATTTTTTTTTGCTTTTGCTTCCAAAATGTGTTTTTTTTTTCGTTTCTTTTTTCTTTCTTTTGTTCTCTCTCAGCGGCGGAACGCGAATCTCTCTATATATCAGCTGGATTTCTTTTTTGGTTGTTCGCATTTGAAACATCCTTTTAGCTGTGATAGATTGTTGTATGTCTGTTTGTGTTGTACCATTGTTATCATACATTTTACCATTGCTTTTTGCTTATGTATTCTTCCTATTCATGTATTAACATTCTTACCCGGTTAGATATTTTGAATAAATTTAAAAAAACAAAATTGATTTGCTAAATTTTAAAATATATGCCTTAGTGATATTAATATCTTTGCTAGTAAATTGATTGATGGTATGATTGACATAAAGAATGCAACCTTATTGGTATGTGCTCTTGTGGCGCAATTGGTTAGCGCGTTCGGCTGTTAACCGGAAGGCTGGTGGTTCGAGCCCACCCAGGAGCGCTTTCTTTTTTAGTAAATTTTCTTTTTTAAATTTAACGAAATTATTATTTTTTTCTATAATAATTAATTTCATTCTTGAATTATAAACTTATTTTCAAATTCTCAATTTTTTGTTATTACATAATTAAAATAATAGTTATAATCATATAAAAAAGAAAATCATTCGAATTTTACCATATATAAATCCATGTATATGATGTTACAATTGATTGAGTAGGTGCTCCAATAATATGTCCACCTTGATTAACAATACATTTAAATCCATCATCATCCATAACATCACCATTTCTCCATTGAAATCGAAAACCATTTGTAAAAAATATTGGATCTAAATCATGTATACGATAAGCTGACCATTCATATATATTATTTGATAATTCTTTATAATGTGTATAACCAGATATTTCATTATGATATTGTCCAGCATTAAAATAAAAAGCACTATCAAAATAATCTTCTGTACCTGTTGAAACAATCAAACCTGGAAATTCTTGTTCATATTTTGTATAAGCATGATAACAGCCTTCAAGAAAATTTAAATTACCACTCATAACAGCTAATATATGTGAAAAAAGTAGACCTTGACCACTAGATATATCAACAAGAGAAATCCATGATAATGGATTATAAGTTTTATTTTCAATTTTATGTAAAATTAAACGAGCATTCCATGGAAGTTGAAAACCATGAAAATTTGTTGGTAGATTTTCTGTACCACGTAAAATAATCCAAATCATTTTTCGATTAGTTTTTGTTGATGGTAATTTACCAGTAATTCGTATAGATTTTTGAAATGGTACTCGACTATCAATCAAATTTTTGAATCATAATTAAAAATATACACTATAAACTTACAAATTATTATACCAACCGCCAGTTTTCGCTTCTTTACCAATCCATTTAGTTCCCCATGGTGTAGTTTGATCATTAAAACCAGCTCCAACTAACATATAGGTCACAAATTGTATTGATGGTTCATGTTCTCCATCGATATAATACGAAAAAATAGATTCATCAATCGCTAAAATAGCCTATGAAAATGAATTCTTTAACAAAAAATATTATTAAAAAACTTACCTGGATCACCAGTTGTCCAAAAATGAGTGAGAACACCAAAAGATGAACTTTTCGATAGGTTATAACTAAAGAGTTCAGTCTATGAATAAAAGAAATGTTGTTTTAAAAACCTAATAAACCTTGAAAGTTTTTTTTTTTTGTTTTTGATAAACTTATTAAAATACTCTTAGTAATTTGTTCATTCTTTTACATAAATACCTCTGTTGGATACAGCCAATGATTAGATAGACCAATACCGAATGTATTCAAGTCTTGAGCAATGGTGCTTATCATACATATAAATAATAAAATCCAAACGTACATATTCGTATCAAACGTATTTTTTCTCCTGTACATAACAAGGTTTTTTCTTTCAATGTCGACTTGATTACTATTCTTTTCCTTTAAATAAAGGCCTTTTTCTTTTCGACTAATGATTTATTGTTATATAGACGCTGTTGTATAAAATCATGATAAACTGTCTGGCTGATACAATGATGTTCTATTTCATTCGTGCTTCATTGATTATATGTGATAGATGAATATAACGAAAAAAAATGTATGATCAACTACAGGTGTAACCGTTACCATTGCCTTTTGCTAATGTTTATTTGGTTACTTTACATCTCTGGTCGTGTCTATTTAACTATTGAAGAGAAGAAGAATAAGTAAATGTGAACGTTGACGAGAGAAAGAGTGATCTTAGTATCGACAAAATAAAGTCGGTCACAACGATGATGTTGAATATGAAGAAAAGCAACGAACAAAAACCTAATTTTGTACATCGTCTATTAACTTCAACATTAAAATTCATTAAAGACAACGAAAATGATCAATCTAAATCATCGGATGATACATTTAAATATGAATTACCAGAGAGTTTTTTCAAAGCAGTAGATAATGCTCGTACAAAAGCTGGATACGATATTCTTCCTCGTCATCGTCATCGATCTGTTCCATCACCATCATCTCGTCAGAACACTTTCTCATCATCATCATCATCGTCATCATCACATTCTCCTCATCGCTTACACAAAGATCATAAAGTAATACCGAAAATCTATCAATCACCATCGGCAAATGATATCGATAAAGTTTCTAAGAAAAAAGTTCAATTTCGTCGAACACCTCGTGAACATGTACGCCAACATCAACCAATAACAACTCCAAGATTATTTTTATCGAGGCCACAATTTCAGATGATGATGAATCCGAATTTTATGATGGTTAACAAATCTCGTAGACCACAAAACTTTATACCAATGCGATCAACAATATTTATGCAGCAACAACCAATGTTTCGATTGAGATTTCGATAAATAAAACAATACTTCTCATTATTAACTGGTCACTTTTCTTGTTAAATAAATCCAAAGAAAAAGAAGAAACTCTCTATTTAATGCCACCCCACTCAGAAATCTATTTTCCAGTCTTGTGCCATGATGTTTTCAGAAGATATTCAACAAACTAGACTCGAAAACAGCTCATTTGACAGTCTTCGTTCAAGAGAAGCAAATTCATTTTTTCAAGTAGAAGATTACTTTAAATTATCATTTTAAACATTTCCATAAGCCGACATTTCATTTAGCATGAATAATTTTTGAAAATAATATTGCCGCATGTAGATTAAATGAAAATTTGATATATACTTTTCATATTCTGTTTATCAGCGACATCTTTTTAAAAACATAAAATTATATAAAAAACAACTTATAAAATATTCCTTAATATTTAATAAAATCTTCAAAATTTTCATTTTAAAAAGTAGAATTATTTTCTTTATACCATGTTTCAAAAAACAAATTGTTCTCAATAATCATCATCCATTTCCAACAATATTTCTCTCCATATAATACACACCTATTTATTTGTGTTTTATTTTCACTTATATTCTTAACTATTGTCGATCTTTTTATTATATTTATACAAAAAAAAAAAGTAGAAATCAAAAGAAACATCGCGATATGTCTCGCGATGTTTGTCATGATACAATGGACAAATCAACACGTTCCAACAGTGATGATAATATTTCATTAGATCCAATATCAAAAATTATACATTCCAAACCAATATTTCATGGCGCTGGTCAAATGAGTTTTGGTACTAAAGATGATAGTTCAACAATGCTATCATCAAGTGAATATATTGCTTCATCACCATATTATAATTCTTCATCAGCTATAGCCGTAAGTGTTACATGAAAATTATTTTTTGTTTTTAAATATAAACCTCGTATTCATCATTCATTATAGGTACTCGATTTATTACCTCTATCTTTTGTAGGTGTACTATATATACATATGATTATATAGAAAATTTTTCTTATCCATTCGCTGTTCTCTACTCTGATTGATTTCAACGTTTAAAATAAAATGAACTATGTATATTTTCATTTTTAGGGTTTTACGAAAGATCAAATACAACAAATGACAACGATGTCAATTGTAGAACAACAACTAACTATTGCGCATACAAAAGAATTATCATTACCGATGGATTTTTTACCTGGTGAAGAAGATGTGAAATTAAAAGAATGTAAAAAGAATATAATCATAAAATCAAAGTTTCAATGTTTAAGTTAAAACATTATTTCTATTAGATATAACTTATCATATTCATAAACAAAAAGTAACATATCATGGTGACTTAATTCTAACTAAATATCGTTTGTTGTTTGTTACAAACTCATCAGAATCTGCTCAAGTATGATAATTAGAAATTATTGTTTTTTCTTTTATTAGATGTTTTTTTTTCTTGTCATTTAAGATTCTTGTTGATGTACCATTAGGAATGATTAGTCAGATAGTAAAAGTCGGTGGGCAAACGCGTAGTAATATAAGTGATAATGCTGTATATGGAATTGAAATTAATTGCAAAGTAAATACAAAATAAAACAAGAATTGTTAATATTTGGTTTTTTTGTTATTAGGATCTTCGACATTTCTTTTTTGGCAATGCTAAAGAACAAAATCAACGGCGTAATTTATATGATAAATTAAATCGTTTAATTTTTCCATTTTCAATTCGTAAAGCAGACATTACAAATCCACAAGCATTTTTTAGTGTAAGAAAAAGTTTTTTTTTCTATTGTAGGTAAACCTCATCGAATAGTATTGTTGTTAGAAGTTAAAAGATAGACAGTCTTTCTTTGCTTTATTCAGATCTAGGAGTTTGTTTTGTTCTTGTGCTAAGGTTTAACATTTGCATAAAATATTTAAGAAAGAATCAATTTACAGAATTTTATATTCAGGTTTTAATAGGGCCAATGCAGTTCATGAGGCTTCAGACTTTCGAATCTTACTAAGATCAATTTTGAGTACAAGTGCGAAAGTATGAGACCGTTGAAACAACACTTTCTTTCAGCGTTCTGTGCAGAATTGGTGACACCTTTTACGGGGGAGCGAGGGAACGGAAATCTCTGTGTTCTGGCTCTTTCCATAACAGGCGATTTGCCATCAGGCTGTTCGTTCCTCAATCGAATTCACTTCGCAACGACATTATCTGCTGATTTTGTTTTTCACTTTCTGCCAGAGAAAGGCCAACGATGTTTCAAAATCCATGAAGAGTTAGTAGAAAATCGAACAATTTGAGAGGACGTTCTCTAACATAATTATTTATATAGTGAACAAACATATTCATCATCATGATGAATGAAAAACAAAAGATTTTTAGTCATATATCAGATTGAAAATAGATCAGTATTTATTACAGATTTTTTTTTCTCATTTTAGTCTTTCTTTGCTTGGAATTATAGAAAAGCAATGTGTCCAGACAAGATTGATGACGGTTGGAAATTGTATAATGAAATAAAAGAATATACAAGAATGGTAAGTTATTTTTAAAAAAAGTTTTTTTTTTTTTTGAGCTTAAACATTTTTCTTTAGGGTATTCAATCGGTTGGTGATGCACATTGGATCATAAATATTGAAATCAATAAAAATTATACATTTTGTGATACATATCCACATATTCTTGTTCTTCCGTCCAATTTTGCGACATCAAGACTAGATAATGTCGCTAGTTTTCGTAGTCGAAATCGTATTCCAGTATATTTAACAAAACATTTTCTTTTTTCTATAGTTAAAAAATTTCTTTTAACAGGTTCTTAGTTGGTATTGTCGTCAAACTTATGCAACAATAACTCGATCAAGTCAACCATTAACTGGTCTTAATCGAAAATGTCAAGATGATATGGATTATTTACATGAAATAGCAAATACAAATGTAAATGAAGGTTCAAAATTATTTATTATCGATGCACGTCCAAAAGTAAATGCACTAGCTAATAAAGCTAATGGTGGTGGATATGAAGATTATTCAGATTGTGATCTTGAATTTCAAAATATACAAAATATTCATGTTATGAGAGAAAGGTTCGAGAAAGAGAATGATTAGAAGAAAAGGAAATTTTCAGCTTTTTTTTTTTTTTTCTTTATTATAGCCTTAATAAATTACATTCGACCATACGACAAGGATCACAAGAAGATAAAGCATGGTTAAATGATTTAGGAAATTTAAATTGGTTATTACATATTCGAGTATGTAGACTTAATATGAGATTGTTATTAGATAAAGAAAAAAAATGTTCCGTTTTTGTTTTCTTCAAGGCAATTTTAACTTCTGTCAATCGATTAGTTTCTTTAGTTCATAATGATAAACGTTCAGTATTAGTACATTGTTCAGATGGATGGGATCGAACATCGCAGGTAAATAAAAAGAAAGAACTTTTTAAATATTATATTTTGTTTTTGATTTATAGCTGACTTCATTAGCAATGTTAATGCTCGATCCATACTATCGAACATTAGATGGTTATATGATTTTAATAGAAAAAGAATGGATTAGTTTTGGTCATAAATTCTTTTTCGTTAGTATAAATTGAAAAAAAAACTCAGTGAAAAAAATGATTTTTTTGTTTTAAATAATATTTTTCTAATTACATAGCGTATTGGTCATGGAGATAAAATTTATTCGGAACGATCACCTGTCTTTCTTCAATTTCTTGATTGCACATATCAATTATTACAACAGGTAAATAAGTTTTTAATAACAAGCTTTGAGAAACTTAATATACATCTACAAACATATTATCTACAGCACTGTTCAGATTTCCAAGAAAAGTAAATTTCTCTGATGAAAAATCCTATTTCAGAAATTTACCCTTACAGAAAAATCGTGTCAACAAGAGAGTTCGAACGTTTTCATAATTTTTCTTTAAAACAATCGAAATTGTCTTCCAAAATTCCTGATATACAACGGAATTACGTCCGAATTGTTTTGAAAATGACGACATTGCACAAGAAGAAATTTTCACGAAATATAACTATTACAAAAGAAAACATAATATTGAGAAACTTTTGCAAAAAAAATGCGGCACAAAAAAATTTACGTAGAACAATAAAGTGAATTTCAGTAATAACTGCGAAACTGACCGCAAACTTCAGTACGTACATAAACTACCATACATATATTCTCGATAAATAACAGTGTATTTCAGAAGCTAAGAATCTAACAGAACCGTTAGAGTTCGATTCGGTTTTGGTTGTTGTTGGTTTCTAATGCATTCTCCTGCGGAAAAAAAGAATTCACCCTTCAAGATATTGTTAATCTCTCAGAAATTTCTAAAATTATCTACACTTCATAAGGTGGCGCCATCTTCTATAAAATAAAGTATATTGGCGTGTACATTAAAAAAAAATTTCGTAATTTCTATTTTCACTGAAATTCACTAGTAGTTTTTGAAATCTTTTAATAATTACTAACATTTTAGATACTAAGGATTTCTTTCTTATTAGATACTTTATTTATATCTATTTGGAAAAATAAATAGCAATTCCTTTATTTACCGAAATAGGTCGATGTTGGGCAGAAATTCGTTTTCTTTTCGTATTTCGCAAAAATTCATAACGATTGAGGAATATCTGGCTAGTTTACTTGTTTTTAGAAATCTGAATATATATCTTCGTTTTGTCTTGTAGTTTGAATCAACTTTTGAATTTAATGAAAAATTCTTATTAACCATAGCCGATTATTTATATTCATGTCAATATGGTACATTTTTATTAAATTCTGAAAAAATTCGTACTGATATGCAAATATCAGAGTATACAATGTCCGTATGGACACCTATGTTACATAATCGTCAAACATATTTAAATTCTAACTATGACACATCATTTGAACAAATTTTACAAATAAATACTTCAAATCAAATTAAACTTTGGAAAAATTATTATTTTCGTTATATGCCTGATTATCAATCAACATTAGTAAATTAATTTTTATCTAAAACTAAACAATAGCAAAAAAAAAAAAAATAAAATAAAACTTCTACTTTAAAAATATTGAATAAAGTCGTATGTAGACTTAATTTAATCTTCTACACTAATGATTTAAATCCCCATCAACAAACAATCTCATGCATTCTTATTTGATTCAATCCGGTACACATTATCAAAATTATAATAAAAAAAAAACAATCAGTATTTTTTTTATAGTCATGCAACACATATATATATACGCATATTTTCTTATTCTTGTTTAATATTGTTTAACGATAATTGATTATATTTAAATAATATATATAAATCTTTTTTTGTTTTAGATTAAATTCTCATTTAAGTTTATCAACAAAAAAAAAACACAACAATAATAAACAATGTCCTTAAACAATAATGAACTTGCCTGTGTTTATGCAGCACTTATCTTAGCTGATGATAATGTTGATATCAAAGGTGATAAAATTGCATCAATATTAAAAGCTGCCAATTATGAAATCGATTCATACTGGCCAGGTCTTTTCGCTAGTGCATTAGAAGGTGTTAAAATAACAGATCTACTTAAAAGTTTTGGTTCAGCTCCAGCAGCTGGTGCTGTTGCTGCACCGGTTGCTGCAACAACAGCTCCTGCTGATGATAAGAAAGCTGCTGGTGGAAAAGAAGCTGCCAAGAAAGAAGAAAAGAAACCTGAAAAAGAAGAATCGGAAGACGAAGAAATGGTATGATTTACTTTTCTATTTATGATTATATATATTTGTATTATTTACTTTCTTTTGTTCGTTTTTAGGGCTTCGGTTTATTCGATTAGATTCAATCAATTGTTAACACACATAACATCATTGCCATCTATCAATTTCTTTTTTGTACCAACAATGTTTGTGTGTCTATTGTTTACGAATTAAAAAAAAAAAGAAGATCATTGTTGATATAAAGAAAAATAATTTGTTATCGATCGAAAAGAATCATTAAATTATGATTAAAAGATTTTCTTTTAAAGCTAAATATCAAGTATCACTAGATAAATCAATTCGAATATTTTCATTTTAGGATATTATTTTATCTAATAATTGAAATCTTACATTTTTCAGTTTAAGAGGGTCCATGTTCAGAAAAAGTCAACTTTGGTAAAATCTATCGATGTTCGGATTTGTAGCTCGTTACATGGAGCAAAGTGTCTACTCTTGTATGTACCATAGGTTATTGATTGTATGATGAGATTGAACAATGTTACTTAGATTTTTTTGAACTTCTGTACTGAACANAAAGAAGATCATTGTTGATATAAAGAAAAATAATTTGTTATCGATCGAAAAGAATCATTAAATTATGATTAAAAGATTTTCTTTTAAAGCTAAATATCAAGTATCATTAGATAAATCAATTCGAATATTTTCATTTTAGGATCTTATTTTATCTAATAATTGAAATCTTACATTTTTAAGTTTAAGAGGGTCCGTGTTCAGAAAAAGTCAACTTTGGTAAAATCTATCGAGGTTCGAATTTGTAGCTCGTTACATGGAGCAAAGTGTCTACTCTTGTATGTACCATAGGTTATTGATTGTATGATGAGATTGAACAATGTTACTTAGATTTTTTTGAACTTCTGTACTGAACAAAATAACTTCTTTTTTCTTCAAGTTTTTTAAGCTTCTATGTTAACTTTTAGCAGCGATGGACATGGTGATCATGCATCGGCAAGTATGATGAGTACAAACAACTCTCGAGGCGAGTCAAATCAAGTTATTTTTTGCCATTTTTAATGCTGTACGAAGCAGAACATTTTTATAGTCGGTCACGTAGGCATTCGGCTTCTATATTTTGCATCTTTTTTCACGGTAACAAATCTGTACTTTGTTTCACAATGATTTAGAGAATGACGAGTTGCTAGAAACTTGTTTGACCTCTGTCAGAGAGATTACAAACGTTTTTGAGTCTTCAACACGAGTTTTCACTCGTCTTTAATAAGTTTCGCAAGACGGCCATTTCGGCCTCCATCTTTTATCAGAAATATAATCAAGAATGTTGAGCTTGTCTTCAGTTAGCTCTTATGTTAATTGAAATCCGATTGTCGAAATGTGATATCGCTTCGCACTGTATTTATATAATCTTTTACGATTTTTCTTTCTTTTTTGCTTACTCGGTATACGTATCGAAAGTTATCATTTTATGTTGTGACGATCTCAAGAACGGAAAGCTGGAAATTAAGCAGATCGACGATCTTGTACTGTCTTATTCACGCATCAAAGAAGATAAAAGTTCTTTCAACAGTGTGGATTTGTAGCGAATCTTTTTCTGTAAAAAACTCTTACGTTTGAAATCAAAATCGATTATTATATTTCTTAAGCTCTTTATTTTGTTATGCTATCAATAACAGAAGTAAAAAAATTTATTGCAGTTGATGTAATAGAATAGATGTGTATCTCACCAGACAAGCATGTATCAAATGAAACTTAACATAACACGTTCTTTTAAATTTCATGTTCTGTCTGTAACAATGTGCTGTTTAAAAATTTTCTAGTTAAGAGTTTTCTACGGAAAAAGATTCCTACAAATCGATGCTGCTAAGATAACTTTTATCTTCTTCGATGCGTGAATATGACAGTGCAATAAAGTCTATCTGTGATTAATGTATACATAGGACACGATAAAAACCAATTTTCCAACATGAAATATTCTATTCAAATAGAATAGATGATGCAATTAACAGTGCTCTTGCTAATCACATATTGAATAATTAAACTATTTAAATATTATAGGAGAAAATTTTCTTATGTAGCTTTCTGTTGAAAATATCTGTTATCGGACAGAAAAAAACATTCTTATATTTTTTAATCCTACTCAAAAGAAAATTACGATTTACGTTTAGCTCAAGATGTTCTATTGAATCATGTATCATCAGCAAAAATTTCAATATAGATCAGAAGCGCAACAATTTGCAAAAATAAGTGGTTGAATACTTTTGAAAGAATGAAAAACGGTATGCTATGATTGTATCATCAATAAAAACTAGATAGATGAATGGATCGATCTGAAATTTTTTACTAGAATACTCTAGATTATAGGCTATAACCTAATGAAAAGTAGATAATTCTAGTTCATCTAGTGTGTGAGATGCACACGAAAGAATATACAATTTTATACTAGACAGTTGATTAGTTTTGATATTTAACTTGTTTTCATTTATAGCATGTTATTGTGTAGTACGGAGGGAGGTCATTTTAAATCACAGCCCGTTATGTTGCTTCATAGCCTGATTAATGTCGTCTGTATTGTATGTAATACCTAAGTTTATTGCCCTAGCAGTCCGGCGTGTTCTGCTTTGCATGTAACCATTTCAGGTTCACTGAGGTCTCCCTGGTCGCCTATGCGCAAGCACAATAGAGAGCCAAGCAAAGTAGGAAGAATTGAGTAGCAATCAGAAAGAGTTTAGTAAGCAATCCGAAGCAAAAAAAACAAATTTACATATCTTCTTTTTTACATAGTTAACAGTGTCCATTGCTCGTTTAATATCAGGATGTGGTATTGATGGAAGTAATTTTTGTCGGATAGCAAGCGCTTTTTCTACAAATGAAAGTACTTTTGAGTAATTACCCATGCTACAGTATGCTGTGCCGATGTTGTTGTAGAAAAAAGCCAATGAGGGATGATTCGGAGCCAGAGCTATTTCGCTTATTTTAAGTGCTTTACTTTAATATTCCAGTACTTTCGAGTAATCACCCATGTCTTGATACACTAGACCGATGTTGTTGTAGGAAGCACCTAAATCGAGATCATTTTCAGAGAAATTTTTTATTTTGATTTCGAGAGATTTTTTATAAAACGAAACTGCTTCTTTGTATAGCCCTTGAACCCGTTTCATCCATCCAAGTTGGTTATAGATATATGCCTTATCAGTGTCGTCAGATGTCTGTTTTAGTAGTGCGATATACAATTCTTCGGCTTTGTTGAATTGACCTATTTTGAGCAGCAATATACCCAACCGTTTCCACCTAGTTCCATCCGAAGCTTCTTCTCGTATACGATCGGTTAATTGACGGAATTGTTGGCCGTCATCAGACGTAAGTTGAAGGTCTACTTGATAAAGTGGGCGATTGTTTTCAAGTTTTCGAATGTTAAGAATTCGAAAAACAGTGTGGGTGGAGAAGAGGATTTCATCTTCTTCCTTGTAATAACTCACCTCCCATATGAAGGCAAAGGGAGTTGACGAGATGATGGGATCTATGGTCATTTGACAAAGAATACCAACCATGCCAGTTATTGCTAATACATCTCTGGCGAATTCAAGGGAGACAGCTCGATTTTTACTAGTGGATAAAAAAAACTATTGAAAGATATAAGTCCACCATGATTTTTTGCGAGTTTTTCGAAGTCTGCTGTTAATAATCCCTGCCCGCGAAAGACTGAAAGAGTCTTGCCATGATACAGACTAATCTGTTTGTTGTGTAACCCTTCGATTTGCCAGTGCACATCACAAAAAAAAAATCCCATTCTTATAATGATGTTACCATCGAGTGTTCGTAATGCCCTATTGAGTATTTTGTATGTGAAGCACTGACGTGTATACCACCAAATGACCTCTGATGGACGATAAGTGCGCTGAAACTCATTAATAATCTTCATTTCTTTGGTATTGTTCCGGTATTCTTCTTGGCATAACATGACTAAATCTTTGATGGCTTCTGGTCCATGTTCCATATCCAGAAGGATTTCCTTGAATATTTAGGAATACATGAAGGAGGACTCCAGCTGATTGAGATTTTCACTAGAACCTCCTTTATTCATACTGACAATACTAACTGATATGTTATCTTGATTACATTGCTTGACAGTCTTTTGCAATGCTTCACAGATTGACTTGATTGATGTATGCACACCTTTAATTTTAGCCCAATTTTGGCCCATGCTTCATGATGTTGTTTGTTGTCACAAAATATGCATATGGCACCTAATTTTAACATGCCATGAATATCTGGTACGAGATGTTCTCCTACCGTACCAGATGAGATAACGAATGATAGCTTCTCATCATTTTCAATTAACAATTCAATACATTCTTCCGCCGTAGTGCAAAAGGTCACCTCATTGACGACATCACGTAATTGCGCGAGCGCATTTTGACAGTCTTCATTTGTTGGATCAATATTTCCATCGATTCAAGTGACCAAATTATTTTCAGTCATGCGTTGTCTTCGTCGTCCACTCATTTTGAAGATAACTATTTCTGTTCAATTGGTAATCGTGTATTGTGAATTATAGATTGTTGTTTGGACAGAGATCACTTTTTTCCAATTTATGTATTCGATGTCCATTGTTTTTATCTTTTTCTGGATTTTTCGCCGTCAACACTCAACGAGCTGCACTTAATTTGAATGAAAAATGAAGCTGTAGAGAACAAGCGAAAAAGGAAAAATTCAAAAACCTGATTCATTTTTATGATTATTCTTTCCAACTTTCGTTTTGTTTTCTTCTACACAATCACTTTTAAAAGTGTTAATCCATTGTATACTTTGTCTCTTTCTTGAAAGAACGAGAAAAAAAACAGCAAAGACTTCGTCAGTTCGGTTTCTTATTTTATATTTGATTGAAACACCCATTGAACAAGGATTTTCCCGCTTGTCAAATATACTGCTCATCATTAATCAGTTATTTGAATAGAAAAAACTGTTGGCATAGGGGCGAATGCCTTTGAATTGAGGAAAAAACTCGATAGTCATTATATTATGATAAAAATTTGTAGAATACAATATAAATATTGATGGTTTATATTCATAAAATCGGATTTACAACAGATAATCATATGGTATTCTGACTGCATCGATGTTAAATCTTTTTTTAAATTTTTCAATGAAAACTAGCAGATATATTTTTTTAAATTTAATACACAACAACAGCAACAACAAATTAACAAGAATAAAGATAATCTTGATTAATATTAAATATTTGAAAATCCTAGATAATCATAATCATCATAACAATAATAATAATTATCATTGAAATCCAATTTTTTGTTAATGAATAGGCATAATTCTTTGAATTATTTTCAATTTGTGTTATTATCGATGCATCTTTTATTATTGTTACATTTGATTGACGATAAAATTTATTACCATCATCATAATAAGATGATTTTACATTGAAATTTATATTATTTGAATATTCTTCACTTGATGTTAGACTTACGTCAATGTCATCATCTATCAAAAATTAAAAAAAAATCTTTTCGTTTTAATCTAATAAACGGATTGGTGTTATTTGCTCGAAAGAAAAAAGATTGAAGAGGAAAATCTCAATAATATATAATATAAAATTAATTTGAATAATTGATAGATAAGTAATTTACTAATCGTAAAGTTTTTATATGTGGATATTCATGAGGGAGTCTTGCTCTTCACTTGCCAATATCTACAACCTGGTAGACTCTACCATAACTATTGATGCAAATTAATAAAAACCGAATTATAAAATAATTTGTAATTTTTTAAATTAGTAATTCATCTGCGTTATCTAGTGTTGCGCTTCTGCTCATTCGGACTTTTTCTTTTCAAGATTTTACACTTCAATTTCATTCTTTTGGAGCAATTAACACTTTCCCCTTAATAAACTTACGAGGACAATATTCACTTATTGATACATTAGGGCAGTTATTGATTGTTGAATATAATGGTGCAATGCGTGTTAAATGACATGTTTTTTCTAATAATTCATATGTCATATTATCAACAATAACTTCTTGAAAATCAAGTGGCCGATAACTATTTATATTTGTTCCCCATTTTTCAAGAAAAACAATAAAATGTTCTCCTGGTTCAAGCCATTGACAAGCTGTATGACCCATTTTAATACCTTGAAAACAAATATATTTATAATCGAACGAAAAAGAAAACAATTCTTTTTTTGCTTCCTACCTGCTTCAGTTATTTCAATTTGATTTTCGATATCTTCTCCTTTAAAAATACAATCAACACGAAATGTAATATTAAAAAGTAATTCAGTATTTGTATCAAGATGAATTCTTTTTGCTATTGGTTGACCATAAACAACAATTGGTGCACGCATAACTTTATCCGAAAACAGTACACCACTATTTACACAACGATGGCGTTTTGCATCGATTTCAATTAAAAATATTAAACATAATATTAATAACATTCGAATCATTCTTCGTTGTTTTCTTTCTTGAACTTGCGCTCTATCTAAATGAGAATAGGAAAAAAAACAAACACACGTTCAACTAACAATTCAACTTGTAACGGAATGAACTATCGCGTCTGATGAATTGAAATTCGTGCAAAGGAAATTTTTCTTTCGTTTTTAGGTAGAATGAAGAAAAAACGTGAAACACGAACGAGTGTGAAATGGGTCAGAGGTTAGAATTAGTTTATGTTTAATAAAGAATAGAAAACATAGGAAAAGAGGCAATTGTCATTGATAAAAAAAAAAAATAACATTACAAATCAGCTTTTTCCTTCATTGATCTTTAAAATAGTCATATCACAAATTAATTGACCATGTATAAAAAAACAATCTATTCACATGTGGGCTAAATCAACCATTTGATAGCGATGTGAGTTCGTAAAACTAAAACATACGTATCCAAGAAGAATGAACTTTCATAGAGCTTATTTTTATACATCACATGTATGTTAATTTATTTTAGATACTCTGAAAAAAACCATCGCTGAAGGCCTTTGCACAGAGAAATTATCAGAAAAAAAGAAACATTAGTGATATGATGGATTACGAATATACAAACATAAAAAAATGCTCTTATAATCGAATACAAAGTTTAAAGTTAATTCCAAACGATACAAACCCTTCTTCAGAGTCTCTAGAAAATTAGTTTTAACTAGCATGTTTTTTCTAGGTTAGATTTTGCTGAAAATTTCACCATACATGCGATACGTGTTCTAGAGTCTGTTCTGAAATTTTTGAATTTTTTTCTCATATGCTTAGAGATACATTTTCTATTTACTTTTTAACTAATAGTCAGTTGAAAGAGTCGACATTTTTACATGTCTATGCTAAAAGAGCTTATTCAGAAATGTAATCCTTATAAAGAGTCAAAGTCAAATGAAAAAAAATATGGGTATATCCCGTTTTGTCTGAAATGACCATAGTATGTTTATTCAAGAAACAATCGTTGTCATGATATTTTTATAATCGACAAGTTTTTAAGACTAAATCAACACATTTTATTCAGTAATATTCTATGAAGAAAAATGAATAGAACTTCATATTAGAGAAAATTATTGTAATAATCGAAATAAGAACATAATTTAATAGTTCATATAAGATAATGACAATAAAATATGATGGTAATGTTTTATTAGTCTTATTAAAATATTCATTTAATAAGAAAAAAGTTTCGTTTCATATTATTTTATTAAATCCCGAATTCATTGATTTCGAAAAATAAACTTCTTTTTATTTCTTAGCACATAATCTTTCTTTAATTCATCAATCACTACAGATAAATTTCGATTGGGAGTGACAATATTTGCATCAAGTTAGTGATACGAGTCCTTTAATTCAGGTGTGAAAATCGAGAAACCGAATACTTACATCTACACCTGCTAATCGAAAGCATTTTTCTAGCTTTTCTACTGATTGTAACATTTATTTTAACAATGTCGGATAGTGTTATTACTGTTTAGTTTATTTCTTTCTCCCTAGTGCTAGGATTTATTCAGAAAAAAATTTAGTCAATAAATAAACAATTAACTTGATGAAGTCCATAGTCAATAAGTACAGTTCTTATAGAACACAATACTTCTATGGTATAAAGATGATTAAACTGTTGAAAATAACGTAATATGTTCTTATTATCTATTGAGATTCATATGTTAAATTTAATTTACAAGTCCGTTTTTATTTTTGATATAAATTTTTCTATTCAATTTACAAATCATTTTCATAATAAAAACATTGTTAAATTTTATTAAATCATTTTATATATTTTTTTGTTCAATGCTTATTAGAATATAATAATAATCAACATAATTCAGTTGGAATAGCTGTGTTTGTTTATTGTTTTACTCAAAAGTAACTTAGCGTGTATCATAGTACTATCATACATCAATAGTCTGTCATAGTACACATGGATTTGTATTATCATCTTTTATTTTTACATTTATTTTCGTCTTTTATTGAAATTTGACATCATATTAACTATGTGTTGTTTCTTTTTTTTGTTATGATTTCTATGATTAAATTATTAAATAAAGCAGTAGTTCATATCTTATAATCATAAATGATATTGATGATAGATTTTGTACGAAACAAAAATAAGATTGATTACATGTAAAATAAATAAACAAAAGTAGTCAATGGAATTATTCTTCTTTACATGCTAATATGACTGGATAGACATCGTTCTCATTCTTATATATTGATTAAATAACATCGATAAAATAAATGTGATAGAATGATTGATGATTGTTGTTGTTGCAGTTGTTGTGAAAGTGTCTGAATACAAGTCGATATTTTCTTTGCTCTCTCTCACTCTCTCTAGTTTAGTCATTTACCGTACGACATGCAACATGTGTGACAGAAGAATATCCATTGAAGCAATAAAAATAAATATAACTCTATCGTTGACAATACAAAACAAAGAAAAAGCGTATGTTTCAGCAAAGAGTGTGTCTGTCTAATTGTTTATTGCAACAATTCTATGGACTAGTTGTAAGAGACTAATAAAAAGAAGCAAAAAAAAATGAAATTTCAATTATCGCATTGTGAATAGGTCAGTGAAAGAAAAGCGGACATACACCTACATATGCGCACGTAAGATAAGGAGAATGAAAGCATAGCGTGACGAACCGATTATCATCCACCCGGCAAATTGGATCAAGTACGCGTCTCTATATAATAGTCATCAAAACTCATGATTGGTTCTATTCGTCAAAATTCCTTTCAAAACAAAAATAACCGATAAACAAATCAAGGACAATGATATTTAAAAAAACTAGTCTTGACAGACTTATCATTGCAGCTCTAAATTACACTGTCCATCATCCAAGAAATCCTTCATTACTTAACAACTACGTAATAAGAAAAAAACCAGTGTTGATATATATATATGCCCATCATCAATTCTCTTTCAATGACGTTTACGACGATGAGATGTGGTATAGCTGTACATTGCTATAAACGATGGATAATACAGCGCATAGACTATCTTATCAATAATATAGCAAAGAAACATCCATTCGTCAAAGAGAAAACTTCGTTCGAACAAAGAAACCTCTATACATCACAAATACTCATATCTTGTGTCTATGTATATTGTCAAATGTTGAGATGAACAAATAACAAGGTTGTTATATGCACTTACTAATGGAAAATGTAAATGTCATTTACTTTTTTATACAGTCATCTTTGTCTTTTTTTTTTTTGTAGTTGCATCATATCTTGAATGCATAATCAACGCTTAGATGATCAGTATCGCTTTTCTGATAAGCAATCAATGTTCGATATGACAAAACGACAATTGTTGTTTTCTTTTCTTTTCTATACCTAATGTCTGACTATCGATACGATCTATTCTATTGGCAATAATATGGTGGGTAAGATTGAAACAACAATAATTCGAACTGATGCCGATTATTATTTCTATTTTCCATATTGACAGATGATTAGGAAAAAAAGAGAGAGAGAGGGCGAGAGCGCGAAACAACATGCATACGTGTATATTTTTATTCCGATATTATTCACTATTAGTAAGTAAGTAATATTAAGTAATCCATTGCAATTGATTTCAATAGTCATTTTGTTTTTTTTTTGCATGAGAAAGGATGAGAAAAGATGCAGAGTTTGGTTGTTCTTTCGTTTAAAGCAGCTGATATTTATTGTCTATTTTCATATTGAGTATACGCTATTTGATTTATTGAGTGTCTCCTATTTGTACTATGGCCTTGAATGAAAAAGAAACGGAAAGCATTTAAAAAAAAGCAGAGAAACGTCGAAAGCTTTCTGTCTACTCCTGTATACGGTTATGTGTATGCTTGCGCATTCTTCCTTCATTTTAGTAAGATTTCGTCCCTCAGCTCGAGTGTCGCCATCGTGTGTGTGCAATGCATAAGAGAAAGAAGAGGACAAAAACGAAATTAGGACATGCATACACATGCCTACATCAAGCATGTGCGTGTATGTGTGAGAGAAGCAGAGAGCACAAAGACACGAAAAGAAAAGAGACAGCGAAAGATGATTGCATTAGTGTAACTCGTGCACTCGAATATGCATACGTAAAAAAAAGGAAGAACAGAGCAAACGCTGTAAGCGACTGGTGCAAACATTTTGGGTGTAGTATACACATGCATTTCGTTGTAAGAACATATTTTCTCTTTTTCTCTTTTTTTTTTTCTCTTCATATGTAGGGAGTCGAAATTTTGTTAGTTGTGATGGTAATTGTCGTAAGATCAGCTGTTCGCATATTTCATATAAGGATTAGTTTAGACTTTTCGCTGTTCTTTTTCAATCTTTCGATTAATAGCAACCTTTTTTTGAACATCATCGATGTGTAGGCATCCAGTAACTATTGTCTACACTTATTTTTTTTGTTTTGTTTTTTTCTACAAAAAAAAAATATAGAGAAGGCAAATCGAGTAAGACAGAGAGACGGAGAGAGAGAGAGAGAGAGTAAGAAAAAAAACAGCGAATAAATATAAAGTGTCTTTGTGTTACTTTTTTTCGTATGTTTGTCACCACCTTAGCATTTGTGCGTAAGCAAGAAAGAGTAGCACAAGATGCGAAAGCAATTACAACCAAGGAGAGCGAGGGAAGAAGAAAGACGCTCGAAGGCCATGGCCTCTATGTTTGCAAACGCAAGTATCGTAGTAAGATATCTCCATAGCCAAAAAAAAAAGAGAGAGAGAGAGAGAAAGAGAGCGAGAAGCAAAGGAGTCGTTGCCTTTGTCGCGCGCGACTATTTGTATTGTCATTACGATTACAGTTCTGATAGGCGACAGTAGTCTCCTTGCGCGAAAAATAAAAAGGTTTTGACGATGTACAGCCAATCAGGTGAGTACAGATATGTACATATACATATGTTAATATATATTCACAAATATTGTTTATAAAAATATTTCCATTGATCGTCACATGGCTTACTGATCAGTCATAAATGGAAATAAACTTTTATCTGACAGTTTAGCCGTGTATTGGTCTGCGGAAATTATTCATCGAATTATATTTGTAATTTTTAGAAGAATACAATATGAAATATAAGTGATGATGAAACAAAAAAAAAACAACAATTTTGTTTTTAATATGTTAATAAATTTAAATAATTCTGCTTTGCTTAAATTATTAAGTCAAATAAAAAAATTTACAGGCAATCATAATATATACAGCGCTATTGGTTATAAAAATATTTATTCATTCAATTGACTTTGCATACGGAAGACAACATTAAAATAGTATATTTCAACGTATGTCATGACGTATTTGACTGTGAACATGTATTTTTTTTCCATTATTTAATAAAAGAACAACTAAAAGATGACATTTAGATTATTCTAAAGTAAAGTGCATATTTTAATACTGATAGAAATCTTGATATTGAACATTTTAGTGATCTCAATTTTGTATTGCACATTGGATGCTTCAAAAAGTTTTCGTGCAAATTGTCATAAGTAAATAAATTATATAATAGTTCGGTCAAAAAAACCTTTCATTCAAGGACAATATTGATATATAGGTGTTTTGAATGAATTAATAACTTGGTGTCTTCATTGAGTAGACGAAAAATGATTTCTGTAACAAATATGAAATATAAATCCATGTCATTGAACTAAATGCTTATAAAAAAAAGAAAGACGAATGAAAGACTTTTCATGTTTATCTACATTCCAAAGTTTCAAACAGATGATATTGATAAATCTCTTATCATTCATATGTACAAGTTGTCTACCAAAAATGTTCAGCATCATTCTTTCTTTCGTTTTGACCCATGTCATTAAAGATAACGATATCAAGAACAAGCTTTATTCAAACGAATGTTAATTTACAATATTAAATAAATGTAAACAAAAAGAAAAAAAACCTATGCTGTCTAACAGATAACGTTTCTTTCCGAATGAAAACGGATATGATTCGATAAGACAACAGATAAAAAGAGGTATCATATATTAAAAATTGTAATCACTATTTTTATTTTCAAACTGAGTTTTTCTTTTCAACAATGTTACGTATACTATTTTTTGGTATGTTTGTATTATGTTGTATTATTGAGACTCAAGATGCTGTATTTACAAATGGTCGTTCATTACAGGAGGTAAGAACAATATATGATTATTATTATTTCTCTATTTAAAAAATCTCGAAAATTCTAGGTTATTGATGAAACCATTAATAAAGCTATGGCGAAAATGTCAAAAAAATTACAATCTAAATTAGATGTACTAAAAGATAATAAACATGCAATAAGATTATGGAAAATGTATAAAAAATATTATAAAAAGAATTATGCAACACCTGAAGAAGAAAAAGAACGTTTGGGAAAATTTATTGATAATTTAAAATTAATTATACAAGAAAATTTTAATTTTGATAAAGGTTTAAAATCATTTAAATTACAGTTAAATCAATTTGGTGATATGAGCTTAGATGAATTTCGTAGAAACTTAACTGGATTAAATCCTGATGGTCAAGGTGAAAAACCGCCTGGTGAAAATCTTGAACAAAATACAAATCAACGTATTCGACGTTTTTTAATGGACTCATTACAAAAGAAAATTAAAAAAAAAATTAAGGATAAATTAATACCAGGAAGAAAACCTAGTAGTAGTTCGGGAACATATCAACCAGGGTATTATCAACCAGGACATTATTCATCAGGTACACGTATAAATACAGTTACTAGACGACCAACAAGTGGTCTTTCAAAAGCAGCTGTTGATTATCGAGAGTATATGAATCCAATAGAAAATCAAGGTCGTTGTGGGTTAGTCTTTTTTGTTTTATTCGAAATAAAATCTTCTTCTTTGTTTCTATAGAGCATGTTATGCCTTTGCTGTTACAGCAGCTATTGAAGGTACACATGCATTAAAAACGGGTAGAAGAATTAAATTATCAAAACAACAATTAGTCGATTGTTCACCAAACAATGGTTGTTCAGGTGGTTATTTAGGTACTACATATGACTATATAAAACAACGTGGTGGTCTTCAACCTGACACATCTTATCCATATGCTGCTTCTCGACGAACGTGTAGTTTAAGATCAACAAAAGTTGGACCTATAAGAGGTTATGGAAATACACCACGTGGTGATGAAGAAGCTATGAAACAAGCATTAAGCACTTATGGACCATTAGCTGGAGCTATACATACAACATCAGATTTACAATTTTATGGTGGATCAAAAGGTGGACGTGGATCAGATATAATTGATATACCAGGTTGTTCCAAACAGGTTGATCATGCTATTGCTATTGTTGGATATGGAACAGAAAATGGAAAAGATTATTGGTGTATGTAATTAAATTTTTTGAATACAAGAATATTTTATTTTGACATTTTGTGTTTTTTAGTGGTTCGAAATTCGTGGGGTGATAAATGGGGTTTAAATGGTTATTTTAAAATAGCACGTAATCAGAATAGCATGTGTGGAATTGGAACATATGGTTATTATGCTATCGTTTAGTCTTGTATTTTCCTATATTTTTCTGTCATGATCATTTGTTCTTGTGCTATTGAATAATTTTCTTTTCCTTGAATAATAATTAAAATATTCTTTTTTCTTTCTTATAAATGGATATTAGTCGATGAACTGGGATCTATTTTGTCCAGATTCTTTATAATTCTGGAAGTCAGAGAAGATTCTTTTCTGATCTTGAGGGCAAATGTTGGTACATTATTTATTCATTTTCACATAAAAACTATTAAATGTTTTTGTGCTCAATTAAATTAACCTTAGGTTTACTTTTCATATATCATGTGCTGCATGTCAACACCAGATAAGTGAAAATATTTCATAGCAAAGGTACATCTACTAATCCATATGAATTAGTCTAATTATAGCTGTGTTTAAAGTTTTTATAAACAACTAATTAGCGATAGACCAATCATCGTTAATTCTAGATAGTAAATATGAAGCTGATGAGTTATAAGGAAAAGAAATGCATTTTTAATATAAATAAAATATTTTAATCATTTTTATTTCTTTATTTTTATAGAAGCAAATAATTTTTATCATTTACTGTTTCTGTGAAATATGCTTTGAAAGGAGTATTGAAGTACAAGGATTAAAATTTCAACCTTCTATCCTCACAGATCATGATAGACGCCAACTAGAGACCATTACAAACTGTAACAGATGTTGTTGACGTACAATCACAGATTGTATATCAATAATGTGTTGCTCTAATATATGAAGTAGTTTCTTATTGCATTTTTGGAAGATTAAATAATAGATTGTAAAGAAATGTCTCCCAAAATGGATAGAATAAAACAGTCTCTATGATTAGCAAGAGCAGCTACATCGTTTTTCATATTTTGATCCCTCAGAGATTGCGCTAGCAGGTTTTTCTAATAAACGTGTCAGATTAAAGCAAAAAAACAGACAGTAGAGAAAAATACAAGAATCATATCTGAAAATAGATTATTTCTTTATCAAGCAAGTTTAACTCTGCATAAATCTTGCCTGAAAATCAAGATTTACTCTTTTTCAGGCTACCATCTTATATGCAGTCAATGGGAAAAGAACTTTGACTGATTTTCAAGAAGAATATGAATCTGAAAAAAGTAAAAACAAGAATGTCGCTTAGTGAAATGACTAGTGTTACTATGGAATCTCTCACACATGTCAAATGCATACTTCTTTTTTTTCTCGCTTAATCTATATAAAAATATAATTTGCTATAAGTAAAATGACACTCTTACATATAATTGCAAACTGTGAGTTGCACTCTCCAACAAATCAGTCTTTATCATTTATTAAAATAATATCTTTATCCATGATATTCAATACTGTACGATTGTTAATATTTTTATTATTAGTAAACATTATAGTTGGTTCATATGCAGCATCGAATGACAAACGACAATTTTATCAATTATTAAAACCACATTCAGTTGAAAATAATAATGAATATGTTTGGTTTACAAGAGATATTCATAATGATATTAAGAATGATGAACTAAAACAAGATTATCAACGTAAACAAAAAAATTCATTGCGCTTCAAAATTTTCAACAAGGCAATTAATCGAAAATATCCATTTGGTGAAAATATTATACATGAACCAAAGTAGAGAAAAAAGATTTTTCTGCTAATAAAATATCTATACAAGCATTCATTTGTTAATTTGAACATCAATGATTCTTTTCTCATTTTTTTTTTGACGATCTCATGTTCTAAAAAAATTGTTTTGTTTTTGAATTTGTAAAACAAATGATATATCATTTCATTTCCCTTTTTATCAATTTCTTATTCGAACATTGAAAATAAAAGTATTCGTCTATATGATTTAATAACCATTGAATCAAATTTCTTTTAAATGGCAATAATACATAAGATTAATATGATTCTAATGACATTGTTCTATTAGGAAATATGATATATCTTCTTTGTATTTACTCATACACATATTATTATATTAAGAATTTTTTCATATATATAATAAATAATAAAAGTCTTTCGATGTACAAGAAATTTGATGCATTCAGTTTTTAAATTAAACTCATATCATTCGTTTATCATTACTTGTTTGATTCTGACATGTCAATCAAAATATGTTATTTTTGATATCTTTTTGTTTGAATATTAAATTCTCTTCTGTCAAATACATATACATGCATGCACTGAAACTTGCAAGTGAAGTCCTTCAACTGATGAATCGCTTTCGAATAGAGACTATGTAAATTATGTAGATCCAAATGAAGTAGGAATACTCTGCAAAGAGTTCCAATTCTTAACTTATTGTTGCAAGAATACTCCAGTTTTACAGTATTTTCTAATTAAGTACTGTGATAAGAGGAGTTATGGGAACTGCACTTTTTTAGATTTATAGAATTTATTTAAACCGTTGGATTTATATGAATTAATCTATTGACAGCATGTAATACATTTGAGTTGTATCAAAATAAAGACATGATTCTAAAGTGTTAGGTGCCTTTCTAATGTCTCTCTCATTCTCACTTTCAGTTAAGTATATACTCTCAGCATAGTTCTACTCATTTCACAATAAGATGTATAGTGAGATTCATAGGAAAATCAAACAAAAAAAATTTCGAAAAAATAAATCTTGGAAGTTATTGGGATAGGAACAGCGTCAAGATCTCAAAATATTCATAAAAATTATTCTCGTTAAGACCTGTCCCTATACAAAGTTTCAAGTTGAATTGTTATTTAAATTACAATTAGATGAAATACAAAAAATTATGGTAATGATTCTTTTTTATCAATTAAACCCCGTTCTATAATTCTAAATGATTGACACTAAATAGTGTATCCTTTGTAAAGTTTCTCTTATATGAAACAATGTATAGAAGAAGAACATTATTATATAGTTTTTGAAATATTGCCTGACTACTCTAAAAGATTCAATTGAGTTGTTTTAAAATGAACTTTGTTTATTGCTAACGCAAAAGATAAAACACTTCACAATATATTATTGAACTCGAACAATGGAGTTATATTAAATCAAAAATTTGATAAACATGTGACGTGTAAAAATTATCGTTTGCATACATTTTGATTTAAAACACTTTTTATATCATATTTTATTGATTTATATATTTACATATCAGTCATTTTATTAATTCTCGTTAGTTTGAAATGCATGATAATTTTATATTAAAAAAGAAAATGCCTGACGTGTCAATAACCATAGATACTCAGCTATATTTTCTCATGTCTGGTATTGATTTACGTTGTTGTTTCTACGATAACAAAAATTCTCCGTAATATAAGATGATACATTTTTCCTATTTTGCTCACATACGTACTGTGAAATAAACTCCGACAAGTTGACTTTTTTCCTCACGTTTATTACAATAATGATCTCATCCGGAATTCGAAACATTATCCAACTGGTATGCATCGTATTACTGTTAAATATTGTATTTGCTGTCTCTGATACACATTATAAATATCAACCGTCGTTTGAATCAAACAATCAACGATCTGTTAATAGTGATTACAAATATGCTTGGTTTACAAGGGACATTCATGATGATATGAATAGTGATGAAAAAAATATTCTTCAAGAACAACAATTGTCTCCACAAGATAAATTTCGTATGAACAAGCTCAAAAATATTTTCAATCGAAAATATCAAAATAATGATGAATCAATATGGGAATCAAATGAAAAACTTTGAAAAAATAAGTTTTGATTGTATAAGATAATAAGACTGAATAAAAATAAAAATGTATTAATATTGTTCTTTTCAATTATAGTAGAATGGATTGATTTTAATTACATCGATTCATACATAATAAATCATATTCAGAACAAAAAAATACAATTCAATAGTTTAATGAAATAAAAACTCATATTTGTAGAAGTGAATATCCATCGAACGACTCCTATACATTAGCTGTCTTCTAAGTTTATAATATTGCTAGCGTGAGACGGCTTATATTAAAATTAACGATGATCAATCTCCATAAATTACATAACAGTTCAATACAAAACATACGTAGATACAACGGATACAACTTTTCCTTTATAACAGATGGATCGAAAGTTTTGAGACAATATGTTTGTTTATTTTTTAATTATCTTGAACGTGTTTCCGAAGTATCAAAAGCTTTGGGTTATGACCAGAATTTTGTACTCTCTTTTCAAACATGAGCTAAGCAATTTTCTTCAGACCACTGAGATGATCTTTTCAAAGGACCACAAAATAATTTTGACGGAAATTTTTTTCGTACACTTTGATATTTTCATTATTTCAACTCGAAAGTAGCTAAATATTGACACTTTTATTAATATATATACTTGTTGAGGAGAAGATATCCTACAAAATTTACTAATAGAGTTTGTTTTGTTGTTCTACAGATCATTTCAATTTCCGTTTCTCGTAAATCCTCATTTTTGACAAGTCAACTTTTTAATCAATAGACTTTTTGTATAGAAAAGGAGCTCTTGAGAAAATGCCTATAATTTCACTTAGGTAAAGGCCATAGCTTAGTTCAATATTAAATTTTGTAATGGTTATGTCTAATAGCGTCAATGAGAAATATACTGATTTCTAATTTCTACGTCATTTTTCACTTCCATTGATTTCTCATGATTTTTAACGATTTTCAATACTCTGCACCGGCGGAAGGCAAGGGGAAACCACCGCTGTATTTTCCCAAGCACAACATGAATAACGTCAAAATTTTCAGTCCAGATAATAGCGTGAATGGGGTTCACAGAGAGAACACCTCGCTCGGTAGAGATGGTCATGTAAGACAGGTGACCCTCGATCGTCAACAGGCTACTGTCCGTACCAAAACCTCATTTAAAATAGGAACTTGGAATGTAAGAACTATGTTTCAAAAAGGAAAATTAGAAAACATAAAGAAAGAAATGCAAAGGTTACAAGTCAATGTGTTAGGACTATCTGAAGTCAGATGGATGGGAGCTGGATCTTTTACAACAGACAACTTCACTTTATTCTACTCCGGAGGAGATCAACATGAGAGAGGAGTAGGTATACTTCTTGACAAAGA